AAGGATCTCACAAGCCCATCCCGTCGCTCACACACAACCACCACACCCATTCCCCATCCACCTGCAAATACCAACATCAAAAAGAAATCGCCAATCCATCTCCCATCTCCCATCCCCACCACCATGACAGGCAACACTTCCAGTCCCCCGCCCTGCGACGGCGTAGAAACCTCCTTCCCACACCCTCACATCCTCCTCCTCACCCTCTCCCGCCCCAAACAGATGAACAGCATCACGCACCTCATGAACTGGCAAATCGCCGCCCTCATGGACTGGTACGACGCCGAACCCACCCTCCGCTGCGCCGTCATCACCGGCTCCGGATCGAAAGCCTTCTGCGCCGGTTCCGATCTTCTCGAAATCGAATCCTCGCGCGAGGCTAAATTGCAGGGTCTGGAGATCACGAAAGCGGAACCCTGGCTGCATGAGCATCCGAAGGGTGGTTTCGCGGGGGTGAGTCGGAGGAGGGGCAAGAAGCCGCTGCTGTGTGCGGTGAATGGCGTGGCGTTGGGGGGTGGGTTTGAGATTGTGCTGAATTCGTACGTTTCGTCCTTCTTTTCATTTCAAATCTTTTGTTGGAGAACATTCCATCGTCGTCGTCGTCTTCTTCCGATTTCCAACTCTTCTGACGATTGGGCCGTATATAGCGACATCGCCATCGCCTCTCCAAACGCACAATTCGGCCTCCCGGAAGCAACGGTAGGAGTCTACGCGTACGGCGGCGGCCTCCCGCGCCTCGTGCGGAATCTCGGCATGCAGGCCGCCAGCGACATCGCACTGACAGGCCGTCGGCTCTCGGCGAAGGAAGCACTGGAGATGCGTCTCATCCAAGGCATTGCGAAATCATCGGAGAGCGTGTTGGAAGAGACGCTCGTGAAAGCGAGGCAGATTGCCGCCATCTCTCCGGACGGAATTATTGTTACGAGGGCTGCGCTGCGGGAGGCGTGGGAGACGGGTAGCGTGGAGAGGGCGTTTCAGATTACGCACGATGAGTATTTTGATAGGTTGATGATGGGGGAGAACAGTGCGGAGGGACTCTCTGCTTTTCGGGAGAAGCGGAAGCCCAAGTGGAGGGAGTCCAAATTGTAAGAAGTGCATGGCAGTAAGAGTAGAAGAGAGACTTTCGCATGACGATGTTGATGTTGACAAGCCTGACATTATCCATTTCGTGAATACAGACATACCCTCGAGATAATATACCAGCGCGTTTCCAGAAGATAGGCGGTGGTCATGCAACCTCATGAGAGGTGGTGAAGGTCGGACAGCGAGCGTCTAACCAATTCCTACCCGATTGCAAAGACAAGAGCAGGACGGTGGTAAGTGCGTGCATGCTGGCAACCCGCGGGAATTCCAAAATCCTATCCACCCCTCTCCTGACACAACTCCGCCTCTCGCGCCGTGAGATGCTCGTGCCATCGACAAGCCAACTCCGCCGAGAAGGTCACCTTGGGACTCTTCCCATCGTTACGCAGCTCTCGGATCTTGGCCACCTCCCGCAGTACATGGGCCAGGAAACCGGCAGGATACTCGTGGAGGTTGTCCGGCAAGTGCGACGAGCCCTTCAACCCACGAGAAGCGCGATGATAGGCGAAGAAGCGGATGAAGGCGCAGTCGTAGCCGCAGCTGCCGATCACATTCTGGATGGTCAAGAACCCGGGGAATTCGGTCTTCTCCATGTACTGCTGGATCAGACAGGTGATGATGTCGTTTTTGAGACGTCGTACGTTGTACGACCACGCAAATGTCCACAGGTTTGTGAGCATCTCTTCACTCCAGCCTTTGATGTGCTCCTCCGGCGGGCCTTTGGGTTGGATGATCGGAGCGAGGAGTTGGTCGGAGTAGAGCCAGACGAGGAACGTTTGAACGGTCTGGGCATCATATTCGTCCAGGAAGAGGTTGCCGTCGTTGTCGACGTATTGTGCGAACCATTCCGATTCTTGTGCAAGTATTCCTCGGTGGACGGTGATGGACTCGACCACGCCGCGAAGATGCACTTCAACCGTTTCGAACAGCATACCACTGCTGGACTGTTAGCCAATGGTGCCAAGGGGCCCCACCGGGTGCGTACAAGTACGAGTCCGAATCCATCTTCTCTCCAGCGTCCCAGCAAAGCCACGCCTTCTTCATGGGTGGAGGCGATGAGATAGAGGAGGATCGCCTCCGCTTCGCTACCTTCATGATTGCTTGCAGTGTGTATGTTGCCAGAGGTGAAAGAGTGAGTGGGAAAGAAGACATGTCTTGAGGATGACGCCCCGCTTCGCGTGAGGCGCGTCGCGTTGGTGTATCAAATCCTTGCCCATGCCCGAGCAAATGACCTCCGCGAGCCTATACATGGTGGTAGACCAGGTGGGCGATACGCTCCTCAAAAGCTATTCGGTCGATGCACGGGATGAGATCTGTATTCAATAAGCGAAGACGGAAAGGGATTCGAACAGGCCGGAAGCTTGAAAATGATGGGGTGAAATGAGCGCTACGAGATTGGTACTCCCTCACGAGACTTCGATCGCCGCTAGGACTCTCGAGCGTCTCATCTCGGCATCCCGATGTCTTCATCTCACCTCGTAACGGTGGTGCTGTGGCTCGCGTTCATGGCGCGAGGGCACGCGGACAGCCTACTCCAGTCTCACACGATGTCATCGACAGCGATTCCGCACTCGGGTCTGTGGGAGGAGTAACTCGACCGCTGCCACCACTGGTTTTATGCTGTCCGACTTGCCATGGCTCTGGTTTGTGCTGTGAAACCTCGGAAGACGCTACGCTTCTGCTGCGCAAAGACGCTGTACCTCGCCTATATTCGCATTGCGGCCGTCGCACTCACGACGAACTTGTTCCAGACGGCTTCTCTTCGAGTATCCGTCACCTCTGTGTTTCTCTCCACTCATCGCTGACTGCAGCAGCAGGCCACCGCACGCTCTCGGAGATGCATTGCTCTTTTTCTACCCGACGTGGAGGACAGGAAGAAGTGAAGTCGTTGACAAGGTGTGGGTACCGGATCCGATGGCGGAACAGTGGAAAGGAGGGCATCGATGAAGGTCTGCAGAATGGGACGACGAAGGGTCCACCACCGCTCTCGGCAGTCTGGGCGCGCTGCATGCGGGAGAGGAGATGATGAGAGCCAGGTCAGAATGTACTACGTGCCAATCAGTGCATACAGTTCCTGGAGGCCGCCGCGGATGGCGTAAAGATATACACCGGAAGGCTGATGGGATGAGGTGATGCGGAGGTGGGAGGAAGATGTTTCTGTTGTTGTGTTCGTTGCCAGCGTGCGGAGACCCCACATGTCTCTCCGCACCGGCTATTCTGCCGGAAGCCGTCAATTGCCGAGGACCTCCACCTCCCGCGCCGTCCCGGGCTATCACAGCACACAGTACACAGTGGAGGCACCACTTGTCGGTCGACATTGCTGCCGGGATCTTTCCCGCTGCTTCCCAGACACTTCATCAGGAAGGCGCAACGCTGCAAATGGCGAATGCCCATGCGGATGTCGTGTCCACATCCCGCCTCCCCGCAAGAATCAGCACCCCAGGCAAATGGCAGGGTAACTGGATGTTTCAAGGGCAAGGGCTGGTGCTGGTGAGACTGGTATAATAATATCCTCGCCCGCACGTGGTTGCCACGCCGTCTCCACCCTCCCATCTCGTCGCCATTGTCCGTCAACACCATGATCGGGAGCGCGGGAAGGCTCGGGCTGCTGGCCTCACTGGCCGGCCTGGTATGGGGACAGAACGGTGAGCATCGCCTGCGCCCGGAGCAGTGGAATCCCGCTGATCCATTCCAGCCATTACCGCCGCCGGGACAAATTTCACCCTCACCGCGGACGCGGCCAGCTACCTCTTCCACGTGGACCAGGAAACCGGTGATCTCTCCTCGGACCACTTCGGAGGCCCCGTGACCGACTTCGTGCAGCCAGAGACCTTCTACCAAGGCGGCTGGCAGGATGGCCTGGCCAACACTCGCCGCGAATTCCCGGACAATGGACGCAGCGATTCCCGCCTTCCCGCCATCCATATCAAGCATCCAGATGGCAGCACCGTCTCGGCCTTCCGTTACCGTTCCCACCAGATCTCGGATGGAAAGCCCTCGCTGCCGGGCCTCCCGGCGACATACGGTGCAGCAGGTGATGTGTCCACCCTGACGGTGACGTTGTACGACAATGTCTCGGATATCACCGCCGTCCTCAGCTACTCCGTCTTTCCCAAGTACAACGCTGTGGCGCGGAGCTTCAACATCACCAACCATGGCAACAGCAGCATCAGCATCGAGCGGGCGGCGAGCTTCAGCCTCGATCTCCCCAATCTGGACCTTTGCATGCTGGAGCTGCAGGGAGATTGGTCGCACGAGGTGAGAACCTCCATTGACCATGACAAGAAACATCCTGACCTGACTTCAGAACAACCGCGCGATCCGCAAGGTCGACTTCGGTGAGACCACCTTCCGCAGCACAGAAGGTCTCTCTTCCCACCTCCACAACCCGTTCTTTGCTCTGATGTCGCCAACTACCACGGAGACCACCGGCGAGGCGTGGGGCTTCAACCTCATCTACTCGGGCAGTTTTGCAGCAACCGCCGAACGGTTCTCGCACGGCTTCGTCAGGGTCTTGCTCGGACTGAACCCTCTCCACGCGAGCATCCCCGTTGCACCCGGCGACACGTTTACCTCGCCAGAAGCCGTGGCCGTCTACTCGGCTAACGGCATCGGTGGCATGTCTCGGTCGTTCCATGACCTGTACAGGAGTCATCTCTCCAAATCTCGCTTCACTCGCGAGGTTCGACCTATCCTGCTGAACTCCTGGGAAGGCTCTGGCTTCGACTACAATGAGTCTTCGCTTGTCACTTTGGCGGGAGAAGCAGAGCAGCTCGGTGTCGAACTCTTCGTGAACGACGATGGCTGGTTCGGCGTTGAATACCCTCGAGATAACGATACCATGGGCCTGGGAGACTGGACTCCGAACCCTGCCAAGTTCCCCGATGGTCTTCGCCCCTACGTGAACGACGTCAACAACTACACAGTCTTGAACTCCACCTCGGAGATGCAATTCGGTCTTTGGGTTGAGCTGGACATGGTCAACCCCAATTCGACCCTCTACCACCAACATCCCGACTGGGCGATGGCCGCTCCTGGCTACCAGAGGTCGCTCACCCGCAACCAGCTCGCTCTGAATCTGGGTATCCCTGCAGTACAAGAATTCGTCCTCGATACCATGCATCGCATTCTCGACTCCGCCCATATCCAATACATCAAGTGGGACTACAACCGGGGAATACACGAGATGCCCGCTCCTGCCGCCGATCACAAACACATCCTGGGCATGTATCGCATCATTGACAACTTGACATCTTCATACCCAAATGTCATTTGGGAAGGTTGCGGTTCTGGTGGCGGCCGTTTTGACGCTGGTCTGCTATACTACTGGCCCCAGCACTGGACTTCGGACGACACTGACGCCGCATACCGTCTCCGAATCCAGATGGGGACTTCCCTCATGTATCCCCCATCATCCATGGGCTGCCACGTTTCCGCCATCCCCAACGGTCTCACTCGCCGCAATATCTCCATCGAATACCGCGCCCACGTCGCCATGATGTGCGGATCTTTCGGTTTCGAACTGTCACCTTCGAAACTCAGCGCAGAAGAAGCCGCTGCAATCCCCTCCATCATGGCCGAAGCACACAGAGTCAATCCGATGGTCATCGGTGGCGATTTCTACCGCTTGGCTTGGCCGGACGAGTCGAATTGGCCGGCTGTTCAGTTCATCTCCAACGACACCAACACCGCGCTCGTGTTTGCTTTCCAGCAACTCGCCACGGTCAAGCCTGTCCCGCCGCCGTTGAGGTTGCAGGGTCTGGAATCCACGGCGAGGTATTGGAACAACCTCGACAATACCACTTATAGTGGCGCGACGTATATGAATCATGGCTTGAACTTTCCATGGGAGGCAAACAGTCTGAACGCGGACTATCTCAGCAAACTCGTCTGGTTGTACAAGCAGTAGTGCATAGCATCACCTAACGCCACTGTTCTGAATTGCTTCATCCTACCTATCCTTCAGCCATGCGATTTCCCATTAACTCAGCGGACAACGTCCGAGCTTCTCGAAACAAGCTCTTCCCCATCGGCATCTTCATCTACTTCCCCTTCCCCCTCCCCTCCGCACAGTCCTCTACTCTCCATCTCATCCCCACCCTCCACTCCCTCTCGCAACATCCCTCTCCCGTCCTCCCTATCCCCTCCCTCCGTCCCCACCCCCCGGCTCCCCCCCAACATCTCCCCCTCAATCGCCCTCCTCGCCGCCTGAATCCCCGCCACCCTCCTCCGAATCACCCCCACCGCCTCCAGCGCTCTCTCAACCCTCCACCCCCCCAACCCTAACAACGCCCTCACTTTCCCTAAATTCCCCACAACGCCCGGCAGCAACGCCTTCACATCGTCGTAGAAGTCGTGCGGTAGGTCGTATAATTTCCAGCCCGCGCGGCCGCGCTCGAGGAAGGTGGCGATGTTTTGCATGTCCGTTGTGAAGGCTTGGAGGTTGGGATTTAGGGATTCCGGGAGGGAAGTGATGATGAAGTCTTCCGCGGTTAGTTGGGACCACTGGCCGCTGGCGTGCAGGGCGTGGGTGAGCAGGGAGTGGATTTCCGTCGCGGCTGCGGCGAGGGTGGGGATGGCGTTGGGGGTCGTGGAAGGAGTTGTTGCTGCTGAGATCCGCTGCTCCTGCGTCTGGAGTTCTCGAAGGGTGGAAGGGAGAAAAGTCATACAGGGGATTGTAGGTTGTTGGTTTGGGGCCTTGTTCTTCGAGCGGTACTTTGCGGCGGCGGGGCGCTTTTGTCGCTTTTGGGGGGCCGGCTGCTACAGGGGGGAGGTAGGATATTGGGGTGTTTTCATAGTTGGAAGTGGAGATGTCGCTTGAGGGGGGTGCGGCGGTGGAGGGTCCGCTGAGGGCGGAGAGGGAGGCGTATATCTCTGAGAAGGCGAAGAGCGCTCCGGGGTTGGTTTTCGCTTCTTTATTTTCTGCATTCTGCTTCTCTGCCTTGTTCTTCTCCGCCTCCTCCTTCTTCTCTCCCACTTCCTTATCTGCCTCCTTCTTCTTCTTCTCCTCCTTGTTCTCTGCCTCCTTCTTCTTCCTCTCCTTGTTCTCTCCCTCCTCCTCCGCCGCCCCCTCCTCCGCCTTCTTCTGCTCTCCCTCTTCCTTCTCTGCCTCCTCCTCCTCCTCTGTCTCCTTCTTCTCCACTTCATGATTGGCACGTGCTTCCTTTTCCTTCGGCTCGTCGGCATTCTGCTGCTTAATCAACTCTGCCATGACGGCGTCGCCGAGTCTCTTCTCGGCTGCCAAATTCTGCTGGTTAAGCAACTCTGCCATGACGGCGTCAACGGCTCTCTCTTCAGCTGTCACATTATGTTCAGCTTTCGCTTCGACTTCCTCCACATGCGCGACTGAGGCCAGAAGTGCCTCGTTTTGATTCTTTTTCCAATCTGCGATGGAAGCGGTGACTATCCCTGCCGCAGGCATCAAGAGCCGGCCGAGCCTGCCCTTTGGCATTTTGGGCGGATCTCGGTCTCTCTGCTGCGTTTATACTTCCTTGGTTGGAGGTGGAGGCGCAATTCGCTTTGTAGTTGGAGCCGGAAAAGCACTGTCGGGCAGTGAGTCTGCGCTCAGGGGATGTAGGTTGGCGACGCTGCGGTGGAGGTCTGCCTGCGCGAGACTGTAGTGCTCCCAGTAGTAGTTGGGGTCGGCTACTTGGGCAACAGTGTCACGGTCGTGATACTTCTCGCCTCCAACATTGTCCCCTATGTTTTCCTCGGATGCTGCTTGGGCTCCAGCAGATCCTGATTTCGTATCTTGAAAGTTTTCCTCGGGCGATGCTTCGGCCGGAGCAGTCCCTGGTTGCGAATTGGATGCCATGTTAGTCTTGAAAGCTGGAGGAGAGTGTATGCGGTGTCTTGAGTGTGTCGTAGGTGAAGTATTCTGTGGCGTGCTTCAACTAGCTCTTTTTGGTAGTGGTGTAATGGTCTGATGAACAATTTCTACTGCGCGGTAAAATCAAGGAAAGCAGCGCGCGTATATAGAACTTAGGTGCAATCGAGTGTGTTGCAGACAAGTCACTTCCCGAATGACGTGAATATGTTGTATACAATTGCCTCTCAAACGACGTAAATGTGTTGTGGATGAATGACCTCCAAATAAACTAAATCTTGTTTGGATACTTCACCTTCGTGCGACTGTAGGAAAAATAAAGAATTGATTAGATCTTAGAAGTGAACATCACTTACGCCTTACAATGAAGAGATGGACAGGTCCAATCTGCTGTTCGGACAATGCCATTGTAGACGCTGCTTGGCCAAAGACAAAGGAAGGCTGAGATCAGCTCGACGCCGCCGATAAAATCGTCGAGTTCGACAAGCTGAACGAGATCTCGGTGGAACAGCAATTCGAGCCCGAAAAGAATGACCAGTACCCCCTGGAGTGCCCGTTGATTGCGGTCGAGAGCCGAAGGGTGTCAATCCAACGGAACGATCGAACTGCCTCGTAGACCCGTCGGGAATGGACGATACAGGATTCCAAATGTAACGATGCCACCAGATAGGTCCGATCAGACGACAACTCGTCAAAGGATACTGATCTGTACTTTGCTGGATGATCGTGCCTAGTAATAAGAGTATCAGGTGTGGTGGGTTGTGTCTTAGACACGCAGGCTATTTATGCATAAGATCGATGGTTCATTGCCTATCTGAGCTATGAAACTGGGCCTATATACTGTATGTGGCTGCCAAACCGCTACCTGAATTGGGCAAGCTAGCGCAATCTGTCGTAAGCATGCTGGATCGATCACTCATGCAGGTGCTGGATAGCGCTGGACGGCCAGATATGATTAGTGACTTGGCAGGCACACACATCATATAGCTCCACCTTTAACAGCTTTAATAGGAAATGAAGCCTCGATCTCTTATGAACTACCTGCGCGTATAGAACACTCCGTGTGTTACTGGGAGGTTTTTCATCTGCCGTTGCATGGTAGCTCAGATTGTGCGACGAACGCGTTACAGTTGCGCCAATTGGGACTTGTGATCTGTTCAAGGTGTATAGTCAAGGATGATGCTGAGATGTACTCGGGCCTAGATATACACCTACAGAGCACCTCTCGGAGTTCCTTCAATCAGGTAGGCCACCGTATATCTGTTCGACAATCATTGGTCCGCCGACTGCTCCCCATAGTGAAGAGCTTGGAATGCCGATCCGGGGAGAGAGTCCGGACGGAGAATCTTACCCATTTCAGCGAAGTCATGGAACTCTGTCAGGACCCTGCCCAAGCTGAGGAGGTTATCAAGATTTGCCGAAGCTTCCCAAGACCCTCTCTGGTCTTGCATTCGGCCTGTTCTCTCGATGGTACGGCTGCTGGCTCCATCGTCGATCTTTGGCCTTCGTCATCGCGTGAGTTGACACGCAGGCAGGATGCAAGCTGGAAGCGATTCCGAGGAAGGATTTCGACCTTAGAGAGGATTGCAAAGAATCCAACGCGCACGATGGTAGAAGCGCTTGAATGCTTCCCAGAGTTCAATCCAACATTCGTGCAGTGGCGGCGACGAGACTGCCACAATACGGATGGGTGCAGCTAAGATATCTTCCGTCGTTAACTGTACGGCACTGGCAAAAGTGTCGGGGGGTTTCAGCAAAGTCCCCGATGAGCAGCGCGGTAGGAACAAAGCTGGCGGCATCAAGATCTAAAATTGAATGATCGGAGCCTTGCGATCTTCAGGATCGTCAGGTACTGGATGTACACCTCCCAAGTCCGATTGACGCAGCAGGGCGAGCATTATATGGACTTGCAAGATCTTGAGTGGCGATGCGGCTTGGCATCTGTCGATTAGGAGGAACAGCTAGCTCCCACTGAGCTCAACTCCGAACTCCGCGCTATGTAATTATATGACCGCTATGGAAAGACGCCATCGTTCGTCAAAATCGTCGCGACTGCGAGGTATGAGTCGGACCAGGGAGTTGACCGTTGTGTTTAGCTACTCGGCAACACCCAAGTGACGAGCGAGTTCGTTGGTATTTTTCCGCTCCACTGTGCTCCACTGCTACTGAGGGTGAGCTCAAGGTATACGTCTTTACTGAGGGTATTCAGAATTACGACGGTCCTGCAGAACGATGTCAGAATAAATCCAGAAACGAAGAAGAGGAGGATACTGACTTTGTGTTGTCCGGATTCAAAGATGAAACGAATTGCACGCCGAGGTCTTTCGGGGACGAGGTGCTCCCAGTTCCACTCAAGATAATTGCGCCCCGTGGTATGTACCGGCTAAACTGTGCCATGAGGTAATACGCCATGTTGAAAGTGTAGCTTGTAGCGCTGTTGATGGTCACCAAGCCTTGGCAGTAGGAACACCCATTGGTCATGTGGGGTCCATTGTTAGGGTCCGCTCCAAGCGTCCACGCGAGGGCTCCAGATGCCCAATTCTGCAGGGTGCCCATGGTGAAATTGGCGGCGTGGTACCAGTCACTTTGTCCGCTGATTGCAGGAGTCCAGCATTCGGTCATGATCTGCTGCACGCCTGGGTTTGCTTGCTGGAAGGTAGTCATCGCGCTCCAGTCTAAGCTGTCGGCGTAGCAGTGCCAAGCGACTGTATTGACGTACTTGCTCGCCATTGTCAGGATGTTTTGAGGAAACGAGGGCAGGTCGGTGTTAGCGTCGTAAGCCCAGATCGATGTTGCTAGATTCGCATTGGCCAGCGCGGGACCGACGGAATACTGGATAAGGTTGCCCTGCTCATAGTCGTACATATACATGCTCGGGTATCCCGCCGTGCTCCAGACAGGCTCATTCTGGATAGTGATAGCGTCCACGTTGGCACCGAGTTTGTTGAATGCCTGTATGTATTTGACAAAATAGTTCGCGAACGCGGTCGAGTAGTCGGTCTGGGACGAATCGAGATATCTGTCGCTCAGGTTGTTGTTCGTGAGGTTTCCCATGAGAGCCTTTCGGAATATCAATACGAGATTCAACGTGTTCAGTCGGCTAGAATACGCACCTGATTGGTCTTCATCCAGCCCGGCGGACTCCAAGATGAGCCCAGTATCTTCATATTGGAATTCTGCTTCTTCATTGATGCCAACAAGTTCGCCATGGCGGTTCCCTTTGATCCTAGTGCAAATTTGGAGAGCGATGTGTCGGGAGCACTGCTATCGTCGTAACTGTACGCTGCGCCGTCCGGAGTCAAGTCTGAGGATCCAATGGTGTGGCGCATAAGGTTGAAGTTGGCGCCGGAGGGAGTGACAAGCGTGCCTAGCAGCTTGCTGAGAGTCGAACTCGACAGTGAGTTGAATGTAGATACCGTGGCATCGGTCACTGCAGCTCCAAAGCCAGTGATTGCCTGTTTGTGCCCTGCTGAGCTGTCGTCGATATTGATGTTCCATTCTTGCCCTCCTGCCGGGACCGCTGAGAAACCTCGTGTGGGGGCCGTGATAGCCGTCAATTTATAGCTCATGTTCCAGTTCGTACAGATTGCTGAGGCCGCACTTCTTTCAACCAGCACTGGCACACCTGCTGCGAACGATTGCAACGAAGAGAGGACGAGGCTGAAAACCAGGAGAGCTGCCATTTCGTGAGAATTGTTCGACCTGCGGTGACCAGAATGCATCTTCAAACGAGCACCAGGACAGCATCTTGAACGCCTTTATGAACGAATGTCATCTTGCAGACGTAATTTCGCTCCTCGGCGGTGCTCTCCTTCTGGATCGTCAACCGTACGCTCGAGGCTCTCGTGCATTCAGGGTGAAGGGGTCCAGCCACTGAGTGCAGTGGGTAAAGATGTGTGCTGTATGATCTACATCTCTTGATGCTTTCCCCCGATGGACTAGATGCGTCGACCTGTCAACCATGGTACACTATGTCGAGGCTGCGGGTGAATAGCTTATTCGCGGCACAGTACGTCATGTTACACGTGGTTGCTCGCTATGGTTGATATCCTTGAGCACATACTCGCTTGAGCGCATACTTGCAATGAGAGCCGGTCGGGAATCTCGATTTCAACCCGTGGCTATTGCTGATGCCAATTCCTAAATCGAAGTGAGGATATTGCAGGTCCAACAGCGCTCGATTCTGCGAAGAGCATCGATGTTCACGAGATTGGACGTCATTGAAGGAGTTGGTACGGGAGGGACGGGACGCCAAACTCTTCATAAGGTTTACGCAATGTCTTGCGCAGGGTTCGTTGGGTACCCTGGGCGCACGCAGTGCGACTATAACTATAACGGCGCGTACGCACTAACCGTATTTGTTCAGATAGCCACACGCACCCTACAAAAGAATTATAGAAAGGCATTACATCTTAGAGATTGACATCCCGATTCAGATTAGATGAAAAAGGTACTGGCTGGAATAAGCAGGACAAAGATTGCTACATACGAGGCCTCCTCCGGTGGGTAAGTCCCGGCGGAAGCAGGCGCGAAGACTCGCTTCCAGATCTATTCCACAGCATGCGCTCAAGCGTGTATGTATCGGGCAAGGTATAATGGCCACTCTTGCTATATGTTCGATGCAGTCGAGTGTTTCATAGCTGTGGGGATGCATTGCTCGGCTTGCTCCGAAATGTCTTGCCTTGTGAACACGTTGAGGCAGATCCTCTGTCGCGTGCCATGGTACACAAAACTCTTCTGCTTGCTGTCCAGAAGCAGCTTTCAATTGACCTCATACACGACCAGATCAGTGACAAGACGTATTGCAATGCCAATCAAGAAGACCAGACGCATCGTGATGTCTTGTGGCGGACTTTTTCTTTTGGTTTGCGGCGCAACTTCGATGGCCTCTCTCAGGACGCTGGACCCCGCTCATAGTGCCCGTTAGTACCCTCAGAGTGCTCGTTTCGACATCTGCCTCAGATGTTTCTTCGAGAGATCTGCGAATCGCTTTCGGGTCCCGCACGTGGTTCACAGTATGCGCATCGTCATATCCGCTTACAGGCCGTGAAACGAGCACCGTCGTTTCCAAGGGCCGGCGTCTCTGCCGTGTGTTATACTGCGAGCTGTACGTCTCTTTCAGTGGCGATCCTCATCCTCAGCTTGAGAATGGTCACTGATAGCCCACATCGCTTCGACGAAATGCCGCGTGTTCTTGTCCACCGGCGAGGACGAGCGTGGCGCCGCACATCCTGTTCTCTCATGGGAGGATCAGTTTCTTTCCGGGCATTTTGGCGGAGATCAGGACTCCGCCAGAAGCAACTGTTCTTACACCCGAGCTTGATCTGGCGGCATCCGCGATCGCTGCCTCTTCGACTCGAAGGCGTGGACTGTGTATGTTTCGGGCCCGTATACTGCACTCTCTAGGAATCCTGCGTGGTGCCTGGAGAGTCCTGGCTGCGAATGGTGAAACTCCATTAGACGCGAGGCGCGTAGGAAGCTGAAGTCGAAACAAGATGACGCGACGCGCGTGGAGGATCTGCCGGGAGCTCGGGCCGGCCTGGCACAGTGGCATAGGTGGCGCCACAAGCACGCGACAGCACACGTACTGTGGTACCTCGTTCATCATCAAGGTGAGCTCTTCCCTCTGATTGATACTCCATGTCCTCTGCAATAACAACATATCGAGTCGATGGGCCTTCGCCGTGACGTACAACGAATCGCAAGCTGCGACCAGACGTGAAGCGGAGGCTTTCCCACTGCAGGCATGGCTTCTGGGCCGACCGGTGTCTTAGATGCGCAGGTAATTCATGAGAGATCGATGAATCCACTTCCTCTCTAAGCTATGAAAAGTGGAGTTATACACTGTGTATACCCACCAAGCCACTGATCGGAATTGGGTATCCAGCACTACCCAGCACTACCCAGCACTACCCAGCACTATTCAGCATTATCTAGCACTGTTCAGCACCTGCATTAGGTGATCCAGCATGCTTACAGCAACCGGAAGGTTCTCTTGACGGCTGCCAACACGCTACCACTTCATTTGCGGTGACCCTGGACGACAATACCGCACCCTTCCGACGTAAATGTACGCTGTAGCCGGAGAAGAGGGGCTATCTCCTATGCCCCGAGCCGGGACATCACCCGTGGGCGTCAGCCTTCCGTGCGGCAAGTTGTCCTCGTCCATGCAATCTGAATATCGTTCGTCAACCTCAGTACACTACCTGACTTCTTCAGAAGACAACAGTGGATGTTCGCCTGAACGATTTGACCTCCAATGAGCCCGCGCATTCCGCCGTATTTACCACCAACGGACAGAGACCTACCGAAGTGTACGGCCAGAGGCTTTCCCTGCACCACGTATTACTAGGTATTCGTCAACTTGCGCATATTACCGGACCGGGCGAGCAAGGTCGAGGGAGGGCTCTTTGTAGCTGGCAAGCAACTTCCGATGAAGTATGAGAGTTCTGAATCAGCCGGACAACAATCGCGAGCCTTGCACGAGATCGACTGGGATATCTGCTCACGGACAGTTCTACACTCCCTCCATTCAACCACCGCACCGTAGCGGGCAGACTCTTCATGCAGTACAAGTCTTCTGGGATGAGGTCCTTCGACTTACGAAGCACTGCCGGCAGAGCCTCAGTGGAGCATCATCCCACTCATGTGGAACCGACGCTGCAATCAAATGTGCTTTTGATGATGCTTCCGAGGTCTTATCTGATGCTGAGCCTTAAGAAGGTCCTGCGGAGTGCAACGACGTCAACGGCACTCGACGACGGATACCGATCGATCCTTGAGAGCACCGCCCGCGAGAACTCTTCGACAGCCCCCGGAAAGTACTTCTCTCTCTATCCAACAGGTACTTCCGTTGACTCTGCAGCGGTTTCGCACGCTCCAGGAGAGGAGCTTAGAACTGGAGGAGACAACCGAGTACACTCGGAATACAATGCCGCAGGAACATCAGGTGTGGTGGCAGGACCGCGCTGCGAAAGGCAGGTGAGGGGGATATTGCCGAGTAACAACTGGTCACGAATGGTTCTTCGAGAGACTCCGAAGGATATCGGCGAAAGACTGCCGGATTGGTGTCGATGTTTGGATGTCCAGAATTCCCGAGCTGCCATTCTTCAAGCCTGCCATTAGAAGTAACAGCTTTGTTGGGTGCAACATCGCCCCATGACGATGGCCGAGAGCGAGCTTTTCATCGATCATGCAATTTCCGGTCATTTGCTAAGCTGAGGGATAGGCACTTCCTTCCACAGACGCTGAGAACATTGGGTCGCAAGCCTGGTCAAAGATGTCACCGCAGTCCATCGCATCCTGGGACACGCTTGCTCCAAAGGCGAGGCTCACAACTCGTCCTCGTTCCAACGCGCTGGATAGAGACGGCTCTATCGCCGACTCCATCTCAGTGCGTGGGAAAACTGTCTCGAACGTAAAGCGGTTGAAATTGAGCGGGTAGCCTGTGCAGCAAACCCCCGAACTCAAAATCGCCGATTCATCGTTACAACGAACAGTCGATCTAGTAGTGGAGCGACTCGTTCTGCGAATGGGCAAAGAAAGCCCCAAAGATGCCGGAATAACTCTATTTCTTTACCACGCCACTCATCTCCTCAGCAAAGAATTGCGTATCCCGGCTGCGCACAAACGTGCCGCGGTGCTCGCGAGAGAAGCCTGGACAGCTGCCGGGATAACGGGCAAGGGTTGGTGGCGTAACGAGACTCGAAGAAACCCGGCTGAGTAGTTTGCGGCCCAAACACACAAGATTCTTCCGGCTCGATGGGAAGAGAGAGCAGGAGATCATTCCCCGGGAAAGTCCGGATACTTCTTGGGCCCAAAGTAAAGTCTGTCAGAAAGGACAGGATGGAGAAGACCAGGACTGAGACTGTTGTTCCGCGGGCTTTAATGGGTGCAGATTCGATCGTAGAGGCGTCTAAAGCGACATGTGTACAGCTAACAGCCCATAGCACGACGTGTTGTCAGGCATCCAGGCATGGCCCAAATTTCCTGCGATTGGACTAGGATCCGAATTCGAATGGGAGCATGAGTTTCGCCAGATGAACTGAAGCACCATCGAAGAGGACCGCGCCTCAGAAGGTCGAGGCATTCGTTCGTCCTGTGGCCAAGTAGAATCTGTTCGCCTTTCCAGACCTCGAAAGCCTGAACTGGACTCCACAGGCGAATTCAACTTCTGAGTTCGAAGTACAGAAGAGTTCCAGATCGCAGTGGGACTTCATTAGGCTCTACATGAGGCTTACAACCCGATTACCTAGGCCGCGCGGGACGAGGTTGTGAAGGCTCTACTCAAAAGCAATCGTTACAGACGCAGAGAACGGGACCCTGGCTCGCTCTTGCTGCAGAGTCCGATGGAAGCCAAGCGGGTAGCGAATGAGCAGGGCATCACTAGGAAGTACACAGCCCCAAAGTTGAATTGGAGCCTGTTCTGTAATGCGCAGGGCATTGGTAGGCAGCTGATCGGTGTCTTCGATCAAGAGGAACTTTCTGCGAATGAGTACGGAGAGCGCATCGAGCGGGTGCTCTATGTTTTCTCCCTTTTTGTGTAGCAGCTCAAGCTACCTGCGAGGGCGCCAGAGCGAGATCAGTGGAGATGGTTGTCGAGATAAGTAAACATGCAGGCAACCTAACATCAGCACTTGGAATTGTGAGGTTGAAGGGAAACAAGAGGCTGGTTTTCCGGCCGACCGTGAGCTGTTTTCTTCCAGGAGCCTTCGTCATGAGGTACTCCTCTCCGGTTCAAGACTTCTCAGAACTCCTTGCCTCGTCGAGCCCAAGCTACTAAAGGCTACGCATGTCCATCAAGGTGATACTTTGCCATTGCAAGAAGCGTCCAGAAGAACGCATCTCCCTTTCCCAAGGAGCTCTACGCCGCAGTAATCATCGACGCCTTGTTGGTCCCCGTGGTCCCGGAGTCTTCAATCCCGGTAATGAGCTGTGAGTGAGAAAGCCGCAGGCTTGGGCTGGGGCTTGCAAAACGCATCGATCTTCTCTTTCGCCATGAGGTGGTCCTGGATTTTGTGTTGCAGTCCTCCATGGCTATGCCATCTTCAATTGCGTCCAGAACCACGTCCGCTTCCATTTCGGTTTGCGCGGACTCTATGGTTCGCTTGCTTGGGTTCCACGGCGTGCTCCAATGACCGCTGACCTCTGGCTGCTTGCCCTTTGATTAGGGATGACGAACGAACTTCACACTTTTACTGGAATCGTGAGATCCATTGACGCATATTCCCCGATTGCAAAGCTGCGCCACGGAGGATTGCTAAAGTACCTTACCTTCTCAGTCGACCTCGTCTTCTGCCGTTGGAAAGAGTGGTAAGTGATGCTGCTACCAGTGGGTACCGGAAGTCCAGAAGTGCCCGACATTTGCCATTGCAACCATCGTGATCGTGTGCTTCCATTCCGCGGGCTTTTCCTTTATGACGGTCGCCTTTGCACCCTATGCCCTATAGGGAGCAGGAGCCGTCCTGAGAAGAAAGTAGAAACCGCCGCAAGCCTCAGCGGTGGGAGACATGACGGATCATCTCGACATTGACTACATTTCCGCTAACGATGCGCGATCTATTCCGCCGTCAGTCTGAACTCTGTCACCATGTTTGGGATGGCCGTTGCACGACGAGCGAATGGAGCATATGCCTGCCTGCTACGTCGGTCGCTCGCCGCGTAGCGTTGTATGCTGCGCGCGAGCCCTTCAGCAACGATGTGAGCATTCATTCATTGTCGTGAAGATGAATGTGAACAGGAAGAAGAAGAAACTTCGATGCTTGACGATGGGCCTTCCGGGTGTATCGTGTAAAGTGTTTCAAGAAGACGATTCACGCAACGCACGTGGCAGATCCGCCGACACTCGGCCCGACTTTCCGCCGAGAGCACTCTATACCACGTGCTCATGCCGGCTAAAAGTCTTTTGCCTCATGTCTCGACTTCCTCTCCTCTTCATCCATCGAGTCGCATCATCACTCATCAATCAACGTCTTCTGGCCATGCGCGCTTCTATGCAGCATTCCTCCTTCCAACGTCCCCGTGACCGTCCCCGTCCCGATCAGGCAATCCTCACACACTCAGGGTTTCCCGTTCTCGAGTTTTTCGCCTTCACAATCAGCTTACTACACGGTGCACGATACTCTCAATGACGATGAGATCATGCTGAACCACGATTCGGAAAGGAAAGCGGCCTTCTGCCTACATGTACCTTATATTCGCTTTCATGATTATCATTCGAGACGTCTTGGAGCAGAGAGCAGCACATGCGAGCGTATTTAGGGGGTGATGATGCCGAGAGGCAGGCTTCCCTCGAGAACTGCCAGAAAGACTGTTGGAATCAGCATGAAAATCACAGCCGATGTTCTGGCTGAAGGCAATCGACGTCGGCAAACGCAACGGAAGCTTAATGGCAGTCGAGATCTCTGATGTTCTCAAACCCGCCTTGCTCACTCGGCATTGCCGCCGAAGGGAACCGGAGAAGCCCTCAACGCCTCCAAGACAATTGTTGAGGGAAAGAGAGAGAAGGGGAGGACCCATGGCGTCTCATGCAGTCATTTCGATTCTGTGCTCTCTCCCTATGCATGCAGAAAAATAGGTACTCGCTGAATTTCCAAAAAAAAAAACGCAGTATTTCTCAAAACCAGGAAACCTCCCTCTCCATTCATCGCGTCAGATTCTTCCCCTTCTTCAAATCATGTGAGAAAAACAGCCAGAAATGCCATCATCGACACCACGGTCGCGGATGCAGCGCCCACCGTCCTCCCCGCGGCACCGACCGCAGCACCATCCTGGAGGGCGGAATCGTACGTCCTGCTCGCATTCACGGGCGTCGGGTTGCAGCTCGCGTTCTTGCCACTGAAACAGTCAATGCCCATCTGCAGACTCATCCCCAGCCCCGAGTTCAGCGCGACCGCCACGGGGCGTGTATCCGCGGGGATCTTGGGGATGAGCAGACCGCTGAACACCGCGCTGACGTTCAGCTGCTGCTGCAGACTCTGCAGGACGATGGCGTCGAGGTCGAGCTTGCTGAAGTCGGCCTTCTTGGCGATGAGGGCGGCGATGGACTGGTTGGCGGCGTAGCTCAGCTCCTGCGTCACGGGGGCGAGGGCCTGGGCGCCGGCGGAGGTGAGATTCTGGGGGTTGCGCTTCGCGTCCGCGGTGGCGTTGTTGATGGCGGAGATGACGTTTGCGGTGGCGGCGTTGATGGGCAGGGCGGCGTTGAGGGAGCTGCCGTCGAAGGCTTGGATGACTTTGGTCACGGCCGTGGTCTGGTTGCGGATGTTGTTGAGGTCGTTGATCATCGTCTGTGCGATGTCGGTGAGGGCGCGGCGATAGAGGTGTTCGGTGACTTGGCTGACGGGGTTCCAGGCGAGCGCGGCCGTTGCGAAGAGCGGGATGGCGAGCTTCATGGTTGCTGGTTGCTGGTTGCTGGATGGGCCTGAGAGCGACGGCGATGTCCTTCCTTTTGAGTGGCAGACTAAAAGGTAGACTGCTTCCTGTGTTCGAGAAGAAGAAGAAGACGACGACGACGACTAACGGCGGGCTTCCCAGGTCAAGCTCGAGAAGAACAGGACAGGACAGGACAGGACAGGACAGGACAGGACAGGACAGGACAGCAGTCGATGGAACAAAAACGCTAAATTCCAGCAGTGATGAACAAGCAGCAGCGGACAGCAGAAGAGTGGTGGTGCACGAGGACCCTCGTACTATGTCCCTTCGATCGGCACACAATTCATTGGCCCTACAAGAATTGCCCCCAAGACTCCAGTGCCTCGGTCGGAGATTTAGACTTCGCGTGGTGGAAATCCACTCTGGGAACTAGTCTTGGGGGGATGGCGCAAGCTTCTTGGGGTAGAGATCGACGGCGCTGCGCCCCTCCCCCAGCTCTAGGCTCGAAGAGGAAGTGCTTCCGTCGGCTCCGCTGGGTTGTGGAAGAGTCTCGACTGTTGGGTTTCGTCCTCGTCTGAGAGGACAATTATTCCTTCGGGCACCTGAGCAGAGGGGCTGTATGAAGCCGAGGTCGAGGTGCGTGGATTCGTGATACGTGATGTTCTCCAAAAATGGACGGTGGAAGAAGAAGATGATGCTGCTTGTCTTGGAGGTGATCTGGGGAGGCACAGCGGAGAGACAAGACAGAGAGAATCGTAGCACGAGAGCGGCCGAAGGTGTGAGAAATGCTGGACAGCTCGGATATCAAGATTACACCAGGTTCTAAAATGCTTCATTACAGTCGTGCTTCTGGAAATGCTTCATTTCAGTCATGCTTTCAATGGGTGTTGTCCTATACACCGTCCCAAACGCTCGAAATATTTACAAGAAGTCCCGGCGTCTTGCCGTCATCATTCCTCAGATCTCTCGTCACAGCAGTAGTACTCTGACTTTCTTTACTGCTCCATTTCTTGCATGAATTTCCGCACATCCCTCAGTCCCAGCGAGCAGAGGATGCAGACACCCCCGAATGCGATACTGATCCAGTACGGCCATCTGTACGCCACCGCGAATGCATCTTGTACACCTGCAATAATGATGTTGTACGCCTCGGCCTTGTTCATGACCGATGGACTCGTGGCGATGATCTCGTGTAACCTCTGATACTGAGCGGTCGAGGCCAATGTGATCAGATGGACGAGCTCGAAGTAGTCGTCCGTGATGCCTGCTTCAGTGATCTGAGGCGCGGCAATGATGTTGGCGAGCCCCAGGTACTCGTGGAAGAAGACGTTGTAGTAGACAGTGAAGCCGACGGCACCACCAATGTATCGAATCGAGAGCGTGATGGCGGTGATGGTGCCAATGAGTTCTGTCGGACATGCGATCTGGGCGATGATGGAGCACGGGATGATCACAGCTCCCACACCAATGGAAGCCAGAGTCAAGATCGGGTAGACGACCGGGTTCAGGTTGTTGGTCTTCGCGACGGACATGGCACCCACAAAAGCGGTCATGAAGCAAGTCCAGAATATCATGAGCATGGTGGTACGACCCTTGGTTACGCCAATCAGAACCAGCGCGAGGACGGCACCAAAAATGATGCCGAACCCAATCGGCAGTGTCCGGATTCCGATCTGGACGGGGTCGTTTCCGTACATATTGTAGACCTGCGTGGGCCAGAAGAGCAGCATCACGAAGAAGTTGCCACCGCTGAAGAAGGTGATGAGCAAGATCAGGACCATGGTCCGCTTGTCCTTTGAGAAGACCTCCTTGGGCACCATGGGGTACTTGGCGATGAAGAGCTCCCAGATGAAGAAGGCGATGATGAGGATGACACCGATGATAAAGGGGACGAGAACGTGAACGCTGCTCCAGACGTACTGAGAGAGCCATTAGCAGTGCTCTTGCCACACCACGGAATTCAAACATACCTGTCGCGCACCCCACTGCAGCCCCATCATGAAGAGGGTGATACCAGCCGTGCTCAGAATGCCCCCGAGATAGTCAACTTTCTTCAAGACCTCCTTTGCAGCGGGTCGCACGCGGGCCGGGTCCTTGTAGAAGATGAGCAGCAGGATCAATCCCACTGCGTTCCAAGCACCGACCAGGGCACCGACATAGCGCCAGTTGGAGTCGCGAGCGATGAGCTGAGCCCAGAGAGGAGACGGGCAGAACGGCAGGATGGAGAAGACGACGGCTCCCACGTATCCTGCTCGCTTTCGCACGGGAACCATCTCTGAAGTCCCTGACAGAGCGATCAACTCGTTCAGACCAGCCCCGAGACCTGATATGACCATTCCGCCAATGGCCGTGTTGATGTGTTTCGCGGTTGAGACGACGATTGGGCCAATAATGAGGAGTACTTGGCCGACTGCTGCGACCTTCTTCCGCCCGAGCAGATCGGACAGGGCGCCAACAAACGGACACAGCGCGGAGACTGGAATCAGGTAACCGATGACAATCCAGAGGTAGCGACCATTGGCTCCGCCAATCTCACTGTACATGTCTGGCAGCACACTTCCATAGAGATAGAGGGGAATCTGCGAGCCGACCCAGAGAAAGCACATGGCCAGGAGGGAGAAGAAGAGATTCACGTTCATCTGAGAGAAGTTGTCAGCGGCGCACACATGTCCATCGTCTCTGCGGTACGCACGTGCTCATGGACATCGGGACTGTCGGCTGCCTTGATGTCGTTCTGCACCGCGAGGTCCCGGTCGTTGCCATATCCGGGCTCCATGTGCTCGAGCTTCTCGACGAGGTCATTGCTGCCGCTGGGGCTGGACTCGCCAGCGGTGGCATTGTGTTGGTGCGTCTTGCCCATGGTCTCGGCGGCCTCACTGATGCTCGTCCGGAGGGTGGGAGATGGGCGACAAACTCCAAGAGCGGACGGACTATAATTACTGGGGGGTGAGGATGTCGTCGCAGAGCACGGAGAAGAGAGGGAGTTTCACCAGGTCAGGCGCATGGGCCTGGAAGCATTTTGTGGGTTCTGGATCCTAGCGGGCGGAGTGACGCTGTCTGGCTATGGACTGGCGCGAAAGCTAAGGAGCCTCGGTGATTGACAAGGTCGCGCGCGCGTGGTGCGGCGGATGGCTCGAAGGTAGACAGAGATCCGGGAGTGTGCTGCTGCAGGACACGATGTGACGGCCGCCGCCGACGAACAGCACCATCTGTGATCTGCCGGCGTGGACGCGATGGCGCTTGGCTGCCCTGCTGCATGTTGGGCATGCTATGCTATGCTGCTCTTGTTCTGTCTGCCGTTCATCGTAGTACGGCCACGCCACACCACACGGGTATGGCCAGTCGAGATCAGGTCAAGCGGGAGGGCGTGTGGCGGGACGCAGCGCGGCTGTGCGGCGCCAATAATGGGACAATCCGCTGGATCAGATGCCCGTACCCCGCACGGCATGCTAGTCGCTCAACGGCAGGCCTCGGTCGGCCCAGATCCAATCATACGTCCCGACATCCAAACTGTCAGTCCGAGACCGCGGGCTCCAGTTGGATCTTGCTGAAGCTAATTCCATTTCTTCTTCCAATCCCACCATTGCGCTTGCGTGTTCAACCACGTCCAAGGGCATCTTCAAACGAGCCTCGTCCATCTCATCGTTCACGTTCCTGCTCGCCCTATCGGTGTGTATACAGACAAACGTCGATATCCATGGCCCCCTCGGCTGTGCCTTCCCATGTCACACAGCACCCGCGGGACCTGCGCTAACCAGAATGAGATGACGTTGCGGGGTAGACCGGGGTCTCTCCACGCCGCCGCCCCCAGACGGCACAGGCCATGTCTTTTCCTGGTCTCACAAGGCAGTCCGAGACACTTTCGAGACGAAATATTTCTGGATGCTCTGCCGCATGCCTAGAATTTCTCTCCTTCGGAACAAATCCCTCGGCCGCGGTAGCAACGTGATCATGCAGCGTTCAACTTCTGGTCCTTGCTGCCACGCTGAACTCTCGTCAAGTATTTCTGTATCCTTGGTATTCGTCACTAGTCGAGACATACGTCTGCCAGATGCCGCTTCTCGCCGCTCTGAGAGCCATCTTTCGCACCGAGGAACAGCAGACTGCAGTGAGCAATATCCAGAGATCGTGCGCCGCCTTTCCGGGCCTTTCCGGGATGACGAATTCTTGCGGACATGCTGCAGACGCCCTCAGCGACGCAGTCTCGTCCTTGGATTAGACGTCGACCCCGGGACAGACAGAGTTCGTCCGTCATGAATCGTGCCCTCATTAGGTTCCGCCTACCCATGCGACTTCCGGCATCTTTGTACATCGCACGCGTCAACGCGTGCGAATGACCCTTGCCATCCTCGCTGTTTTCGGATGAGATGGTATGCAGCTTGTTGTCCGTGGGCTTCGTTTCGGGATCTCGCGCGTTTGGCTGTCGCTAGTGCGACATGCCGGAAATATCAAGTGCGAGAGAGGCTCTCCAGTCACCAGGAGTTGATGAAGCTCGATCGCGGCTTCGGCGTTAGCATCGTGGAGCTTGCTCCTGCCAGAACACCCTCCTCGAACGAAATCCACTCGGAAGCCTGATTCCAGCCCGGTCTTCCAACGATTCATCCCTCTTGGTCCATCCTCGACCGCATATCCAGTCTAGTGAAGCGTTCTGAAGCCCTGATCACTAATCGCCTGCGTACTCTCTGCTGCTTTCTCTCATCATCTTCAGGAGATGCCGCGCTCTTCACATGGGATCTGGGTTGGAATGGATCTTGGCCAAGACTCTCGCGCCCTGTTGTTGTCCAAAGCTAGCTCGTTGTTTCGAGTCTTCCTTCGAATCTCTGTTCCGAACGCGGCATCTTTCTTGGCATGTTGAGAGGCAGGGCCCGTCCTCCTGGACAGATCTGGGACACCCTGTTGGTTGCGACCCGCAATCCTATCGTACGCCGCAGCCAAGCCAACGTCACGTAGAAGGATGTACGAGCGGGCCACCGGCTTGTTGGCTCCTTCTGATTCGACACATCAGCGTTCACCTGGCTCTTTCACTGCGAATGCGACCCGATGCCACGATCAGAGAAGTTGTGAAAGGCCCTTCCAGAGAGTTGTAGGCTGCTGCAATTTTATGAAGGGCGCCGTGGACGGTCATGCGTGACCCAGGCCTATCGGCGAGACCGGATGTCCTTCCACTTCGCGGCCGAAGCGTACCGCGTGTAAGGCGGGAATACCAGATGTCTTCTGTCCACATCTGTAGGTAGGACCAGGCGCCACAGTTCACTCGACTGCGTAGTGTACGTCTCCTCTGTGTATCAGCCAGTCGTAACATCCCATCTTTGGCCTTTCTCGAGGAAAGCCCTTCTTTCGAGCCTCTCGACGCTCCATCAGGGTTTCCGTCTCTTGGCCTCTGTCACGCTTGTGCTGCTCGGTTATCGCCTTCCGCCGCCGGGCCATCCTGGTGCTCAGCATCTCGTCCGCAAGTCGTCGCTGGCGGGAGACCTCATTCTGGTCCGGGAGATACTTGGCGAGGCGATCTGGGTCGACATTCGATCGGAGGTTCATGGACTAGAAAGCGAGGTACAGCCCGTGGCCGGAAGCGGGTCGCCCTTCCATAGCTGTGTTCCGGGCGTCGACGAGCTGTGAGAGCGAAAGATTGGAATGGATATTGAAGAGTGGTCGCGTTACTGTGAAGTGGTAGCAATGGGAGGGGTCACCATGTCAGGAGCCATCCGGGATTCGGGATGCAGGGAAAGAGCGACCAGGGCAGGAACAGAAGTCTGCACTTTCCAGCAGCGGCGAGTCGGCGACTTGCAACGTCACTTCCATTGCTTGGAGTGCCTATGCGGATCATTTACACAGGACATAAGGTACATGTACCCGAGAGACAAAGTTGAACATCACTTGATCAATGTCAAAGTTGCCATTATAGCTGCTGGAGGTCGCCAAATGATGTCGTACTACTCACGACCCGTTGGCACGGACTACGAAAGGATTGGTCTCGCTCTCAACAAAGGCATCATTACAGATCTGCGCCACGAAGATATTGGCTTGGGGGGAGTCGTCGTCGTCGTCGTATCGGACTGGGGTCTCATTCCCGGTGTGATTCTTGCTGGCGAAGCTTCGCCTGCCCGTGCATCGGGTGTGGAACATTTTGAGCGAGTTGGAACTTAACGGACTGCAAGGGCTGTCAACGCCGGCGTTGACCGGTTCGGTGCGGAGGCTCGACCAGAGCTTCTTGTTGATCTGACCGAGACTGGCGTGATCTTCCAAAGAGCGACTTGATGCTTTTGAGGGCAGGCTGCTGGAGGACAAGTTCATCCCCGCTGCTCTCTTCGACAATCCATTCGTCAACGTCGACGAAGCTGAGAAGGTCGTTGGAAGAGCGGACTCTGTTGAGATGGGAGAGAAACCACCGCGAGATTTGGTCATTTTTCAACGAACGAGGAGAATATCCTGCCCCTTGAGCTCGCTGAGGGTACCAAGGTCTACATCGAAGGCTTCAACGCGACCTTCCTGGACGGCCGTGGTGTTTATGTGGTTCCAACACCCGAAGAAGCTGATGTTTGTCTGCCTCGTCTTCTAGCTCCTTGAGAGCCACGATCCGGCCGCTTCGAGGTCAGGTACAGCATTGGATGGAAATTATTAGAAGCAAAATACAATTTATGTCTGGAGCTCCATGCGAAGGGAAAGGCTAGTCACAAGGACATTTACGACACACTTTCCACCATCGTTGATATCCACCTGGATCGTCCGGCCGCTGTACCCGAGATCGTGGAGTCTGCTGCAGCTCTGTTGGACACTTTTAGAAGCAGCCCCGAGGCATCTTTGGACGTCGTATTTGGTACTGACGGAGCGCAGCCTTTGGGAAAGCTGCCGTTTGATTTGTCACGGTCAACGGCTCTTGTCGAGATCCCTATGGAAGATGTGGACCCAGTGCTCGGATTCGGACGTGGTCTTCGATACTCATAACCAGCAGACAATTCTTGAGTAGGAATAAGCCAAACCACTTCGTGCGTTCAATGATTCCCTGTTTTGATTCCATAGCAAGCTCTCTAGGCCCCATTCGCTATCATTCTTCAAGCCGTCTCTGCACAGTGTGATCGCTAAAAAAACCCATCTGCAAGTGTCGAACGTCTTGACGTTTACGCCGCTCCCGGATGCTTGCACGAGTCTATTCTTTGAGCACCGAAGGCGGCGCCAGACCGCCGAGAGCCGCAAAAATAGAGCGTTTCCAGAAAAGATCAGGTACTTAGCTACCTACATGTCTTGGAAGAAGAACTTTATTGGAAGTTTCTCTTGCCCCTTGAGCTCGCTGTGAATGGTCACCCCTCTATCCCGATATATACGTCTCTGCGGAACAAGACCTTGTAAGATTGTAGACCAAGGGTCATAGCGAGGTAGCTCCCTACGGCCGAATATTGAGACTTGTAAGATCGGAGCCTATAGGTATCGTCAGCTGGTGACGCCCGGGACCTAAGGTAAGGGTGCCGTCGACTCCGGTCACAGATCTTTAAGATCTGGTCTGGTCGGGTCGCCTGGAACTATCAACAGGCCTCCAGATTTACTAACCGGGTGGCCTGCAGTGGACCACATAGGCTTGAATTCGACTTATCATTCTCTGCTGCTACCATGGCCATTGCATCTCCGTACGGAAAGAATGTCAAAAATTCCTCGCCGTCCCGTGAACATCTTGCCCGTAGCAGGGTTGGAGAGAACTTCGATGGTAGAAATTGTAGAGAGGCCTCATTCTGACGAAGCCGGTTCGGGGCTTTTGGAGGAGACATGATTACTGAACCGCTCTAATTCACTTGATATAGAAAGAACCTTCGCCCTAGCGGCCAAAGAGGCCATTGCAACTCTATCATATCCGCAACGGATTGCCCAATTCATCCAAGAAAAGAAACCCCCCCCCCAATAGCATCAAGACCTTTCATGCCGCACAGACAAGTATGGTCCGCTCGACAGCATCCACCCGCACTACGCCTCCAGACTGCAGCCCGGGAGATGTCCGCCGAACTTCACAGAAACTCAACGTACCCTCCGAAACACGTCGCGACCTGGCGTCCGAACATGATCCTAGCCTTGATCCAGTACCTGCCGGTTTCCCGGTGTCTCGACTGTTCGATGGCCTGTACGAGATCGATCTGCCGGGCCGGACACTCGATCGAGTCGCAGATCTTGTAGTTCTCGACGTGCCCGTCGTAGCCGATGTAGAAGTGGTCGCGCGCGAACGTCAGCTCGAGCTTGGCGTTGTCGGTCACGTTGCATCGGTGTGACATTTCCCAGCAGTGGGCCTTGAATTGGATCGCGAAGGGCTCGCCGCTGGAAAAGGGGAGAGGGGTGCAGTTGTCAGCTGTGCCATCTTTCAAGAATACCAAAGGGGGGCAGCAAAAGGGTCGTCTTACTTGAACGGGTGCTGTGGGAGAAAGTTGACTTCGTCGATCTGGAAGGTCGCCGTCGTCGCGCGAAAGGACCGGCAATAGTAGAAGAAAGTATTCCCCGGCACGGGATACTCTCTCAGGGGGTAATTGCGGGGAGCTTCATTATCTTCGTGGTCGAAATCGGGATCATTTCCATCAATTCCGGGCGGCCAATATCCAGGGTGTTCCCATGCGAGTCCGATGATGGATAGAGACAGGGAAAGGGCAATGGCGAGCCTCATCCTGGCTTTCGAAATCGTCAACGAGGCCGAAAAGGTCACGTGTGGTACTGACTTACCGACTGGCTTGTTAATGACTTGATGTCTTGTCTTGGGTAGGTGTTAGAAAAAATGAGAGGGGCCAGGATCGATGGTGTATCTGAGAAAATCGATGGATCTTGGGAGCTTGAGAGGGAGGAAACTCGACGAATTTGCAGAGGAATTTATAGGACAAGTCAGTGCTTGGTGATTCGTCTCAGATGCTGAGCTAACATCAACTCTGCGTTGCCAAGCTTGGAATAGATGCAAACATTCGATCCACTCGTTCAGGGCGTATATCTGCAAGCTCTGGAGCTAGTCAGCATGTCTGACATGTTGTATGGGGCAGATGCAAACAAGCGCTCGGATTGTGAGAGAAGCTGTGACATTATTTCCAAGTTTTGTGCTGCTCGAGATCGCTGCCTAGCTGGCGCCAAAAATCAATCCTCAGCATTCCAGACTGCACGTTCATCGTCTTCTCCAGTACGCCTCAGTTGTCGAGACCGGGTAAATCTCATCGGCATTGCAATTAAGTCTTCGAGAGATCAGAGCGTGGGCGCCTTGTGCAGTCGTGAGTAGCTCATGGAGTCTCAGCTCCTGGAGTAGCTTTTGCTTGAAGATAGACAGACGCAGAGCGTGTGAGGGGGAGGCCCGCTTGTTGAGGCCGTCGGGTTGGCCTTCGTCTGAACTATTCGAAGAGCTCACGGTGCCGACAGCAACGCAGTAGACTGGTGGATCTAGAGAGAGAAGCACTGTCAGCGGTCCGGGATGCTCTCGTTCTCACCATCTGGACATGGCACCGCATCGCGAGCAGGTATTGGAGCTGGTGCGCATGTCCCAGAGTGATCGGCGCGAGCGAGGTAGCTGAGGATCTTGATCGAGGCTCTTGTGCGCTCAGAACGTGTGGGAGGAGAGAGTTGCAATTGCAGTTGCGGCCTTCTCCTGCTTGGCGCAGGCGCGGTGCTCTGGGACGCTATTGCTGTTGCGTGCGATGATGCCTTTCTCTTGGATGTCGATGATGTCGATGTGATGTCTTGTTGGTGTGCGTCGATAAGCTTGGCGCGGTCAGTACTTTGGTGCGATGTTTCTGGTCTGGTCTGGGCTCCAGACAAGGCATCATGTGATGGCTAGCGGGCCTTCTCGTCCGACTCAGCAGCGATGTGTCGCCTACGAGGAATGCTTCGATGGCCCGCTTGGTCGTTGAAATAACTCGACCACACACTTAGAGCGCACAGAGCTGCTTTCGCGACGCCACGAGCTCGTCCGAAGGAGAAGAACCCAATCCCCTACCATGGCGATCTCGTTCCTCGACGGTGTCAACATGCTCGATGAGAACGAAGAGGTTTCGTCCACGAACTCCTCTCAGTCCTACCGTTGGGCGCTGCCAGTTTGCCACGTTCCCGAGCTGATACATCTTTGCCCATGGAGCACCCCTGCTATCCATCTGCCGCTTCCAAGCAGCATGGCCGTCACCAAGTCTGGACAAGCGATGCCGCGTTCACAGCTATCGCCAGTTCTTCGCGGCCAGACGCCCTCCATTCCCACCACCGCCTTGCGCAAAGCACATCTCACATATCTTCTCCAGAATCGGCGTAATGACAATCACGTCCATGGCGGCGAATGCGCGAGCTGGCCTAGGTACCTAACGCAAGACCTTCCGTCCGTACCTTCAACCCTTGTTTAATCTCGTCTTGTACCGTCACGAGCAATGATACCACCAGCGGTGTCGCCCGTGATCCGACTCCATCGCTCAATCGCAGACTCGCGAGCGCCGATTTAACGGCGATGGAGACATCATCGATCACAACCGCACGGACACCCCACAGCAACAAAGACCTCAACTGCAGTCCTGAGCGGCGGAGGATCAACCCCAAGGCCCTGTTGGACACCGCATCTCCCATCTCCTGGCCGCGTCGGCAATGGTGTCCGTCAGAAAGCTTGCCGCACTACACCGACATCCCCATCTTTGCTCACGAGACACTCAGCGCCGCCAATGCTGCAACGTACGTTGACCGGCAAGTTGACCGGAGAAGACTCTCGCCAGCGCTCAAGAGGGAGTCGTGCCAAAGTGCGGTGTCCAGAGGTCAACCAACAACAATCGTGAATCCGCGGAATACCTCCGGCCATATCTCTTGAGCAGGCTTGGAGAAGGGCGACTGAGTCGCGTTGGCGCCAGAAGCTGGCCGAGGCAGCAGGTACCGGATGGATCGATATACTCACTGTCGCGGGTAGGATCGAGGGTGCAGCAGGGACCCCGTCATCATCTCTCGTCCGTGTACAGGTATCGGTCAGCCAGCGAGAATTCATGTCGGTCCTCAACGACCATCAGCTATGATCTTTCGCTCAACTCCGAGCTGACTGCGCTTCCGAAACCTCTGATGCCGATCTGACACATTCTGAAGAGACGGATTGCGAGTTGATTGCATTCACACCATGGCCCCTTCCACTCACTCGAAGATCCGCCGATGAGTTGTAATCTCTTGTCATTGTCTTGTGTTGGAGTTCGCCGCATGTTCATTTGAAAGGCCGCTCTCTCAACCGCAGCCTCAAATGCTTGATCACTCTGGAAGCTGGCCCAGCTGTATTGCCGTCACGAGCGTTGGGAAGGCCCGTCCACCAGCATGCAGCGTCCGGCTCTCGTCCGCTGTATTGGCCACTGGTGGAGGTTCGTATCCTTGCATGAAGCCCAAGACGGGTCCCAAGCTGCGCGATTGTCAAGTTGAAGAAGAACAAGCGCTCCTGGAGACTGTTTTGCACTAAGCAGCGTTGCTGTCACTTTCGTTTCCGGTTCTGCGCAGTCGCCGCGAAGAGTGCTCCAAGAACCGAATTGCAGACCGCTCGCATCGTCCCAGGAAGCGGACCTTCGATTGCCTATTCTCGCCATGAGATCGTCCGACAGTCAATTGCGCAAGCTTCTTGGCGAGTGTCATGTCGATGGGATGATGCAGGGTGAAGCCGTATACATTATGCTGCTGATGACGAACGCGGAAAGTGGAGCCCGGCCTTTAGCAAGAACGACCACTTCGTCGCTTCCATCATGAATCGATTCTCAGGCCCGAAGCGCCCAATGTTGGTGAAGAAAAGCAAGCGGCCTGAAAAAGCGTATAGCATGGAATCGGCAAACGACTGCGCGGATCCTGTCGACGAGCAATTGCCCTGCGCGCTTGCTACCGGGTCAGGATTACGGAGTCACTGCCAGGAAATCTGAACTCGCAAGCGTAAGGTATCTTGTATGCGTCTCTTCAGCGCTACAATTAGGCTGCAGCACGCCACGGGGAAGTCATCGCGCGAAACCGGGGAGAGGCACTTCTTCCATCGTATTCGAACTAGGATCAGACCGGCGTCGCTCGCGTATTTCGTCCCACGCCGACATCATTTTCATCCCACAGAGCGAGACTCCGGATCCACGTTACATTCCCTAGTGGAATGCCTTTCACGTCGAGCTCACCGCAAGTTTTACTCCGATGAACTCAGGCATGACCTCTCTTCCAAGGCTGCGACAGGCCATATGTTGTTTGATCGCAGGCAACAAATGACGAGACTTAGCTGCGACGGTCCAGTCCGGAGCCCATGACGGTAAGCCTACACGTTGTGCCGGTTGGAAACTGTCCGCGGGCAACAGAAGGTCCAAAGTACCGCGCTCGGGATGGCTAAGAAGTGCGAACACCTTGTCTTTCGGGTCGGCTGCGTTGCCCCGTGAAGTGGATGTCAGTAGGTCCAAGCAGGATATGTGTTCTTTGCTGTTCCAGGAACGGAGAGCGATAACATCTTGCAACATATTCTCCGGAAGTCGACTAAGGTGAGAAGAACCACTGCCGATGTGTTGCCACATGAGATGGTACGAGTGGAAAGCAATCGCATGAGATGGACGTATCACTATCGCAATGAAAAGACGCACAAGTGGCAACGTCGATCTCTTGCATCGTCCATGTCCTTTAGAACTATGGCCTTTGCGCGAGCTGTCTGAGATAGAAGTCCCTGCAGAGGCCTACAATTGCGAACGTTGCCAGTCACTTTGTCTGCATGTGAATCATCTTAGGCAGTCTGAAGACAACTTGAAAGGTCTGCGGCCGACGTCAAATGGACCCAGCCACACCAGGACTTGCTCCGCGCAGGCGTAGATTGTGACCATCAGCTTGACCTGCTGGCTGGGCTCGAGCGGGTCATGCTGATTGATGCACAGAGCATCAGCCCAGAGGGTCCTCTCGCGATTGTCACACCTCAATGTCTGGAGTGCATCAGCTGAGCCTTACGTGACGAAGAAGGACCCTTTGACGCTGGTGACCTGTACCGGTGTGACAGGAGCACCCCAAACATACGAGATCGCTTCGAAGGCCGGACAGCTACTTATGGAGACAGCGAGCAGCTCATCCAGCAAGCTGTCCTCCACCAGCCCAGGCTTCAGAGCGGTAAGCCGTATACACCCGTGGCCCAGAGGTTCGTAGCGGTAGGACATGGCAGGTCCTCTGGATATCTCGTCTTCAACCGATCCTTTCCCGCTCCTTCTTCTTCACCCAGACCTCCTCTCCATTCTCGCCTCCGCGGACGTCCACTTCCCACAGCCCTAGCTTGTACTTGCCGCGATCACTGTTGCCGGTAAAGAGATCGAAACTCCAGCCATGCTTCGGGCAGCTGATGCCGACGCTCAGCACGACACCGAAATCCTCGATGTCGTAGATGGTGCCCCTTGATAGGGGATACGTCTGATGAGGACAGGCATGATCGATGGCGTGTATCTTATCACGGTAGCGAAAGAGGAGGACCTGCGGTTTGAGGCCAATGGAGAGTTGGGCTTCGTCGGGAGAGAGTTCTTCGCCGGCGTGGATGATCTTACAGGGAGGCAGACCTCCCTGGTTTGAAGAGATCTTGGTCTTGCTCGACGTGCCGGATTCGATGTTGGGAATGGCGGAGGCTAGCCCGGCGTACATCCAGTCGTCCATGGGAGAGAAGAGAAGGATGGGAGAGGTGAAAGATGACACGGGAGAGACATCAACACTCCTGTGCTCCCCTTCAACGGCGGCGACTGGCGGAATTGTGTCCGCACATCGCCGCACCACGGGACCTACCTCCACTTGGGCCTCACGAGTCCCATTACCAGCCAGGAATTACTGCCTGAATTGCCTTGCTGTTGTCGCCATTGTCACTCTCTTCATTGGGCGGCATCGTTGTTCGAAAGCGGATTGTGGACAAGTTTTCGCTATTGTGTGGCCGGAGAGTTTATTGTCTGGACCCTGGGAAACGACTGTGGGGCTCGTGCGCTGCCGCATCCGGCCCGAGCTCCAGCTCCAGCTTCAACTTCGACTTTGTTTTCGTCCTCGACACATTTGCACACACACCGCACATACTTCCTACTCTATCGCTTTTGTTCTCTTGCACTCTTGGACACTCCTCATTTGCTTGGCCAGCGCACACTCTGTACAGCATTCAGCGCATTCCGCACCGTCATCACTTCCTTCGGCATTCTCATTCGGCGCGCCGCCTCGCGCGCAATCGGGATCACAACATGGTCGGTACGCGCACCTCACAACCCAACGTCGACCTCCAGAACCTCGGCCTCGTGCAACATGCGTCGAAAGAGGTGCGCATGCTGAACGTCGACGGTACCAACGTCATGCTCGGCGAGGCTCCCAAAGCCCACATGGGTCGAACTTACAACTGGCGCGGCGCCGTCTACCTGATTGCGCATAACACCCCACGAGAATGGATCAATGCGCACCCACAGCGACAGCGGCGGAAAGGCAAGCACGAGAGCGACGATCTGGGACCTTTGAAGAGGAAGCGCAAGAGCACCGGTGAACTCGATGGCAGGCCGCCCGCGCAGGACGCGGACGCTGCGGACGAGGTCATCGAGGTCACTGATGCTGAGGGCCGAGAGCGAGCAAAGAAGCGTGTCCGTAAGAGCATGCCCAACATGAACGTGCGCTCGGAGCGCAGAAAGTCCACGAACACGACCAAGCCAGCAACTACCCCGAAACTATCATCTACCACCAAAGCGACCGCCTCCACACCACAGCGGAACCGAAGACAGTCGGAGGGCGAGCGAGCTCAGTCAAGTCAGACGCAATCACACACTCGTGATGAGACCCCGCCCCTCCAGCAGCGGGATGGCGGAGACAGCATTGCGCGACCAGAACCCGAAGACGATCTCGACCCGCCCCTCGACTTTGAGAAAGACATGGCTGGAGTCAAAGAAGCAAGAGAGATGGCGATTCGTGCTGGATACGAGCAGCACATGCTGGCGGAGGAGGAGGTCCTTCCACGAGAAGCGCAGGAGCCGAAGAATGGGACTGTAGGATACCAGGTCTTGCTCCTCGTCGTTGAGCTAGCCAAGACGAATAGACGCATTGACAGACTGGGAAAGATTTACGAGAAGATGAGGAACAGCGGTGCCTACAGTGGCATCATGAAGAAGCGCAAGGCGAAGCGGATCATCAGACAGAGCGTTGAGGGACGACTTACGCCACCTTCCGAAGAAGGGGAGGCGCAGGGCGACGAAGAGACTTCAGCGGCAAACTTTCCTGTGGATAATGGCGTGGACGAGCTGTCTGCAGACTTTATGGATCAAGTTCAACAGTATAGTCGACAGGGCGAATTGGAGGAGCAAGATCGCAACATCCTGGAGCTGCTGAAGCGCCAACTACAGAACACCACCGAGGAGCAGGATGAGGAGGCTGCGGAGGATGAAGAGCAGGAATTGTCACAAGATCAAGGTACTCAAGGATTTGAAGCAGCACACGCGGAGGATCGCGAGCCACCGCCAGTTGCTGAGCAGGGCCAGGAACCGGAACCGGATACCGCCACCGACTCCTCTGGTTCCTACAAGCGCTGGGGATACGAATCCACCACCACCCCAGGCGCCCTCGACTCTCCCAACGCGCAGGCCTCCGCTTCTTCTCACACTACACCATCAGTCCAGGCAGAAGGTCAAGAGCAGGAAGACGAGGATGAGACATCATACGGAAACCGACAGACCAAATCGCCCCAAGTGCAGATCATCTCGTCGAAGAAGCGCGCAAGCGCGCCCACGATTCCGGCTCACGACCGTGGTGGCAAGCGTTTGCGCTGGTCTCTGGGTGCTGAAGGCTTCCACTACTCGAACAACGGCTCCAAGCCGAAGGTTCCCCTGGAAGAGCGACTGCGTGATCCGGAGAGAGCGGAGCACATGATCTTCCGCGGCAGAATGCAGGGCGAGAGCCATCAGGCGCGGCGGAGGCGGATCAAGCGCGAGATGAACATCTTGAAGAGCATGCCAGTGGTGGACGAGGCCGAAGCGAGACGATGACGAACCGACTGACCTGGATGGAGGCTTGATCTCCACGCATTGATTTGAGACAGCAGCGATGAGAGCGAGTGTTGATACGCTGTGAGAGACGTCGTGCCCAGGGAAGGAGGAGAAACATTGCATTCTGAGGTTGAAGGCAACAGGTCATTGGCACAGACACGAGGTCAAAAATGGATTGAAAATGACAAAAACAACAAGCGGAGGGGGAAGGACGCGCCTTGCAATCGCAGACAAGAGACAGGAAGGAGGTTGTACTTGTTTTAAAACTCATTCCGAGGATGAGAGGGGAAAATAGGGGCTGTTGGCCCGGAACGAGACTGTACTGTACTTGCTTGAGATGACGATGGATGATGATGATGATACGCACGGGGCGTGCAACGGGCTCTTGTCGAAGACCCTTTGGCAGAAAGAGCGAGGACCTTCAGTGGACCTACCGCTTGCACATGCAACGGGCTCTTGTCGAAGACGCTTTGGCAGAGAGAGCGAGGACCTTCAATGGACCTACCGACTTGCACTTGTAAATAACATCAGATGCCTTTGATGGTCATTGCACTGCGTACAGCGTTGTCCAGCAGCAGCAGGAGATTGAATGAATAAGAAATTCCACAGAGTACCTATCTAACTTTCCTGCTTGCTTTTCCCGCCCTCGTGCTCTCGTGCTCTCGTGCTCTCTTGTGCTGACGACCATCGTGCCCTATTCTTTTTTCTCTTTTTTTTTTTTTTGGTTTTGCCCATGTATGGATGGCCATGAGAAAGGAAGAGCCTGACGCTAGGTAGCTGCCGTCCATCACCACCAAGAACTACATGTACCTATACCGTTGCACAGCGCCCCTTAGGTTTCCTCCCTCTCTCCCCTCTCCTCTCTCCTCCCTCCTCTCCCCTCCTCCTCCTCCCCCCTCTCTCCTCCCCCCCGCCTCCCCGTTGCCCGGAGTATACCTACCTATCTTGCCTTCCCTTGCCTTACCTTACCCAGGGGTCCCGATACTGGTACTTGGTACCGGTACTGGTATTGGTACTTGGTACTATCTTGCGAATGGTTGGATCGATCGTGCGAAAGAGGTTCCATTCGTTCGTTCGTATGTTCGGGTCATACTACTCATTCATTCCATTATTCAATTCACATCATGCATGCATGTCACGTACACTAGCACACTACCTAGTAGATTTCTAAGATCTGTCGCCCCACGTTCTTTTTTCGGGATCCGATATCAGAAAAAAAGACTGCCCCGTTGCGCCGTCGCTCAAAAGATCTTATTTTCTTTCCTGTCAATCCATCTCACTCACACACACTAACACACATATGGTGGTTCTCTCTAGATTAGGTCATCAGTCGAGCCGGAAGGAAAATTGTCGCCGTCACGTTGATAGGAGTCAGAGACCTGCACGTCATCCATCATTTCGGCCGTTCGGGGTCTCGGACGCTCAACGGTGTGACGGGGCTATTTGCTTCGTCGCCAAAGGGCCCTTCGTCGTCGTCGCTGCCTCTTCTCGAAGAGGGCTGCAAGGGTGGCTGGACGATGTTCGGCCCCACACTCATTCGAGCGGCTCGCGCAGAGTGGACGGAGGCGGTGTCGGAGTAGAGTGTGGAGGTTATGCTTCGTGCGGAGGAGGATTGAGGGCGGTCGTCGGGGTTCGAGGCGGCCAGGAACCCTGACTCCAGCGGAGAGACGGGAGAGACGGGATCGCGAGAATGGACGGCCTGGGGCGGATTCAGGGCATCCGCATGCGCCATATCAAGACTGAAAGGTGCACCGAGACCGCTTGGCTCGTTCAGCTGCGGCGCCTCCAACGTCTGGCTGTGCCCGCGACTCTGCGAATTGCTCTTGTATGGCGGCGGCGCTTCAATGAACGTCGTGCCGCCTTCCGACCTTCGTCCCGGGGGGTAGTATTCTCCGCTGCCTCCTTCCTCCTGTGGACTGCTCCCGCCGCGTGAGGAGGTATCCAGACCGGTAAAGTATGCGTTGTTCTGTTCTGTCATGACCACAGGGTTTCGACTCGCTTGTCCGCTCTCATTGCTGCTCCTGCTCCTCAAACTTCCCCACTTCTCTTTGATGGCGGGAAAGAAGGGCACCCCGCCGCTGCTCCCGCTCCTTCTCCTTTCTCGATTCTGCCCCGAACGCCTTCGCAGCCAGAGGAATGCCAATGCGAAGATGGCGAGGGCAGCGAGAATGGGTAGGATGATGGCCGCTGCGAGGGCGCCGCCGGACAGACCATCTCCATGATGAGGATGCTCGCTGACAGGACGAGTTGCTTCGCTCGGATCCTGGCTTGCTGACGCCGGGCCACCCGAATCCGAAGAGGTCGAATTGACAGCTCCGTGGCCTGAAGCTGATGTCGCAAATGTGCTCGATGCGCCGGTCACGGTTGGGAGCGTGGTCGGGTTGTAGGCGTTGTACGTTGTGCTCATGATGGAGCCGGTCAACCCATCCTGTGAGCTGAGGGTTGCTGTGCTGGAGCCATCGAGGCCTATACTCGTCTGCAGCGAAGCGCCTCCCGTGGAGAACTGGGAAGCGGTGTGATCACCACCGACGCTATTTATCTCGCTCTGGACGGCGACGGAGGCAGAGTCGGAGGCGGAGCCGTCGGGCTGCTGGCTGAAGGGGATGGCTCGGTTGGAGTGCTCGAGGCCGGGGGCCGCGTGTTGGTAGTCGTCGTCGGCGGCGAGTGGGGAGCCCATGTCGTGGGATGGGCCGAGGAAGAGCAGACTGGCTGCAGGGGACCTGGGCGCGTTCCAGTCGCAGCCCGGATATGAAGCGAAGGGTCAAGTTGAGGAATGAAATTGATGTGATATTATACAGCACCATCCAGAGGTACGAGACAGTACAGTACAGTACAGTACCTACAGCACACAGGAGAGGACGGGAGAGCCCGGGCGAAGTGTCAGCATCGAGTAGGCGAGTACCTAGGCGAGGTGCAGCGCTGCGAATGGAAGGAGATCGAGGAGCGGGCAAGCGGGGTCCAGCGGGGCGGGCGACGGAAAGGGGCTCCAGCTTCCGCCAGGACCGTACGGTACATGTAGGTACCTTACCTACCTACATCATGGATACTATTTACAGACCAGCAGTCTCTGCGCTCATCGTGACCCCTCATCAGCAGAAGGGAAGAGCAAGAGTGAAAGCAGGAGCGGAGCCGCCGCCAACATCCATGAGACGGCCAGACACACGACACCGCCATTCGGACTCCATCCAATGTCGTAGAAATGAGGATACCGGAGAGGGTGAGGTGTCTGCGAAGCATATTTGATCTGGCCATGCTCTTTCCATCAGCTCCAGCGAGATGGACGACAGCAATCAAGTGTATACCCTGAAGTCACGCTCCAATTGCACCATACGAAGAATCCAGCTCTTCAGAGTCTCGTGAGGTGGAAGGAATCTGGAAAGGCAGCGATGAGAAGTGGACGGCGACAGCCATAACATAGCATTACGGAGCCGGACACCACACGCCATCACACTATCCATCATTACATGCTTGGTTAACGGACAGGAACAGCTGGCTTGGCTGGGCTATTCGTTGCCCTCGCTGGTCGCTCCTTCGTCAGCACCGAAGGAGGTATGCTTGCCTCGCGACGGCCTCGGGATGTGAACTTGCACACTCGCACAGCTCGCGTTGTCGTCGGAGCTGCTGGGATCCGACACGATGTGAGCCGGGCGGGACGGGTACGAGTCCGCAGCCCTCTCGCTCTTGCCCTTTGTCCTGCTCTTGCTCGTGCTCTTGCGCTTCTTGCGAGTTTGCTCCCGCTCCCGCTCCCGCTCCCGCTCCTCGCTCGCCGGCGGCGTCACCAGCGAGCTCCCACATTCATCCTCACGCTTTCGCTTCTTCCACATCCTGCTGCTTGATGCCACGGGCTCGTCCATCTTCATCTGGCGAGCTCGATCCACTGCAGTTCGGTCATCAGCCTGGAGATCCATCATTCATATGCAGCAAGACCTACACTCGCCCGCCTGCGCTGTCTCGACAATCGCTTTCACCCGAGCAGCATTGGCTTGGAGGAATTCGACTGTGTCCATCGTCTGCCAAAGCCAAGTATCGAATCCGCACGGTACTTACTGTCTCCCCGTATGACGTCCATGCCTTGATGAACCTGATGGACGAGCTCTTGAGACACCAACATCCTTGCCTCGATGTCATCCACACGGCCCGCCAAGGACTCCAGCTCTTCAACACGTCGCGTCCTTCCACTGGACACGCGCTTCTTCGGCGAGGCTGGAGGCTGACGAAAGGCCAAGTGCTCGGGTACTTTGACCGGGGTGCAAGGCATCGTGCAAGTCTGGCGGAACTTGGGATTCTGAAGGCGAGCGGGCAGTTTCCACATCTGCAACATGCACAATGTCAACCAAGAGGACATGGTCGACGCGGTGCTGGTTGTCCGATTTTATGGCCGTGTCAAGCTTCTGCCAGGGTCTTTCTTGCTTCATTGGACCTCCAGGATCACATCTCCTGTACCTGGCTCCACGTGATATGCCCAATCTCCCATTGTGTTGAGGACGCACCTCATTTCAACTATTCAGGGACGAACGGCAAAGCGACTCGAGAGCATGCAAGGCTGTAGAGCATGTCGTGATCAGCTTATTTCAACATATGGCTATCTCCTGCATTGGGCCCTGAACGACGGTCCGTGAGTCTAGTATCGCTTCTTCATGGACGACCCCGTGACATTCCTCATGACCTTCGCATTTCTCGGCTCAATGCTCAATGAAAGGCAATCTGAGCGTGCTCGGATATCCAGACCCGATGCAACCCAGTGGGAAAGTAGGTGGTGGTTCTCTAGCACTGCAGTCTGCAGCTAGTCCCAGAGCTGTGCTTCTCCGCAGCGAGACGCACCGTACCACCATCCGTGCGGGCAGTCGAGCCTTGCGTCATCGCATCTGTGTGCCTATACGGAGTCCTCGACTGCATTTAAACGCATTTAAAGAGCAGCGACAAGACGTTCTTCCCCCACACGTAAGCATTCCGTTCCTGTCCCATGACAAAGTTTGCTCCGCTCCTAGTGGCGGCTACCTTGCCGCTTTCATATGCCTTTGTCGTCAACAATGGCACCGACTGCTACCTCTATCCTGAGTCCCTCACTCACTTTGGTCAACCAGTCGATGACAGCCCTTCCATTTTGCAGGCCTTCGAGCTTTGCGGCATCAACGGCACCGTCATCTTCACGAACCATACGTTTCACATCAACCAGGTCATGAATACAACGAACCTCGTGAATGCAAACGTCGAGATCGAAGGAGACCTCGTTTGGTCGAACAACATCCCCTACTGGCTCTCCCACAGCATCGACGTCGTCTATCAAAACCAGTCCACTGCCTGGCTCTTCGGAGGCACCAACGTCTCCCTGCGTGGCAAAGGTGGTTCTTTCAACGGCAACGGACAGGCCTGGTACACACAGAATCGCAACAATAGCAACGAGCCCGGTCGGCCCATCTCCATCACCTTCTTCAACTCGACGAATCTGTGTATCGATGGATTGAACATTGTCCAGCCACAATTCTGGGCCAGCTTCATCTCGCACTCTCAGAATGTCACTTTCACGAATGTGTATATCAATGCCACGACAAACGACGAATGGGGATTGGCCAACACTGATGGCGGGGACACTTGGAACTCTCGAGACATTCTCATCGCCAACTGGACAGTGCAAGGCGGCGACGATTGTTTTGCAGCAAAGGGCAACACCACGAATCTTGTCGTTCGGAATGTCAGCTGCCATGGTACGAGCGGCATGACCATTGGCTCGGTAGGCCAGTATCCACTCACACCAGACTACGTGGAGAACGTTCTTTTCGAAGATGTTCGCCTTTACAATTCGATGGACGGCGCCTACATCAAAACCTGGCAAGGCGTCCCGCAGTCGCAGACCGGCAACGGAGACAGTGGTGGCGGAGGTAGTGGCCTGGTCCGCAACATCACGTTCCGAAACTTCCAAGTCACCAACGTCATCATCCCTATCGAGATCACCCAGTGCATCTACAGCGAGACTTCTGGAGCGGATGTGTGCGACTCGTCGAAGATGCAGATTCAAGACATCCACTTCGAGAACTTCACCGGCACTTCGAGGTTCAACCTGGCCTCTTCCTTGCACTGCGCGGCGACCCATCCCTGTCCTGACGTCTTCTTCAAAGACGTGCATCTCACTTCCGTGAACCAGACTCTGGGACTGCCGCTGTTCAATACCACTCTGCAGGATGAGGTGTATCAGTGTGCCAACATTGTGAACCAGAATACGACGAGGTGAGTTTCTGGGATCCGGTCGACCGATGAAGGGTGCTCTTGTGCTAATTTGAGTGCAGTGGAATTCCCTGCAATCACTGGGCACCGGACAATTTCGGCCAATCTACTGATCACAATGTGCAGTAATCACTCCGGCAGAAAGACAGGTCCTCAAGAGTGTCAAGCGTGGTGGATATGAAGGATCCAGAGTGTGCATATCATCCCCAGGTTCCCGAGGAGAGCACACAATGAGGAACCTCGTCGTCGGGGATAGTATCTCCATATCTCCCAAATTCTCTATCCATTGCAGCGATTACTTCCCACCTCTTCCAGCACTCCCTCCACGCTCCCTCCCGAACCTCATCGAACTCCCTCATCAGCGTCTGATGGATGCTCCTCCTCTGAGCTAGCTTCCCACCCCTCGCGCCATGTTTTCAATCTTCTCCCCATCCATCTACCTCCACACTACTACTGCCCTCGCACACCCTGTCCAAGAATAAGAATCGTGAAACAACCTTCCCCCACGCTCCTCCGTAGCACGTCTCTCCCTCGCCGTGAACGGCTTCGCAATTCTCGCCACGTACATTCCTCGCGACTTCCAGACCACCACGCTCCTCCTCGACATGACGTGCGCCTGGAATCAATCTCCGGAGACACCTCGCTTTCACGACGACCTTGTTGCGTGATTGTAACAGGAGGTCGCGATGCATTTCGTTTTTTCTTTTTCTGGGGAGAAGTATGCCGTCCGTTGTTCAGTCCTCGAAATGACAAGACAGCGAGCGAGCGAGCGTGGGAGATGTAGTCTCAGATTTCACTATAGAATGGCAATTTTGTTCGAGAGGCGACGACGAAGTATTGCGTAGGCGGGAAGGAAGTGCAATGGAATGGAATATGATCGATACCCCTGGTTCGGAATCATACAGCTGCTGCTGCGTTTCGAGGGTTGCGAGCAGGTGAGGCTGTCATGATAACTACAGAAACATGGTCGAGAGTGGGCATTGAGTCTTCCATTCCTCGCTAGGAGGATAGGATAGCTCTCGCTTGAGTTGTTTTTGACCGGCTCAGACGGCGGTGTGACCTGGGGCCGATTTCCTGAAGGGTGGCCGGAAATACCGAGAACATGAAGTGCAGGTCTTGTGGTTGGCCTCCACTGCGAGCGTCGGTGGCCGAGTTCTCGAAACCATGTCAGTGGCAGTTCGGCATCTCGCTGCCATGATAATCCACGATGCCACCGGCGAGGTAGAGGACGGCTGCCACGGCGTCCACGCTCAGATATTGCGCCGATCAAATCAAGCAGATCGCCTACAAATGTTCGGCGGCCAGGTGGAAGGAAGATGAAGGTGGAGTCTGGATAGATTAAGTTCTCCTCGATTCAGCCTGAATCCGCTGAGCTTCGGCTGCCATCCGACTGGCTCGTGGACGGACGCACGACTGCTTCAGAAACCAAGTCCGTCTCCCGTCCACCGACTTCTCTCCTCCCTCTCTTCCCTTATCCACCCTCCCTCTTTGAACATGGCGCCTATCCCGCTGACCTGGAATGAAGCGCTGTCGGGCGTCTTCGGTAGCATCTCGCTCGCCGCGTGGATCTTCCTGCTCCTCCCACAGCTCATCGAGAACTACCAGCAGGGCCATGCCGACGGCATCAGCATCACCTTCCTCTGCATCTGGTTTGTCGGCGACATCACCAACCTTGCAGGTGCTCTGTGGGCTGGCCTGGTCCCCACGGTCGTCGCGTTGGCCGTCTACTTCTGCATTGCCGACCTGGTGCTCATCGCGCAATGCCTCTACTACTTGAGAATCAAGAAGCGCACGGAGGAGAAGGGGGAAAGGGCACGCGAGCACGCCAACGGAGCGCCAGCGGAATCCGAGCACACTCCCCTCTTGAACGGCGACGTGAACAAATCGCCGCAGTCAAGGCCCCGCCGCCGACTCACCGACGTTACCGATGAGAACCTGGGCCTGCCTGGGAGCAGAAGGGTCAGCAACTCCAGTCTTCGCCGTCAGCCTTCCCATGAGAATCGCACCGGTCTTCCTCTGATCGACGAAGAGCCCACGCGCACTCGCACCGCGATCAAGAACATCCTCTCCATCTTGGGGGTCATGGCAGTCGGCGCCGCCGGGTGGGCAATAGCGTGGAAGGCAGGAGCCTGGAGACCAACGCCGGTGGGGCAAGAAGAGGGAGGAGAGCCGACTCCAATCGGTGCCGAGATACTCGGATACATCAGTGCCATCTGCTATCTCGGCGCGCGCATTCCGCAGATCATCAAGAACCAGCGCGAGAAGTCGTGCGAAGGCTTGAGTCTGCTCTTCTTCTTGCTCAGTTTGATGGGCAACCTGACATACGGCGCCGGGGTGAGTGATTTGAACGTCGAAGGGGTGAAACTCAGCTGATTCGTATGATAGATCCTTTTCCATTCCGTCGAGAGACAGTACATTCTCACCAACCTGCCCTGGCTCATTGGATCTCTCGGCACCATCGCGGAGGACGCCATCATCTTCATACAGTTCCACGTGTTTGGCGAGAAAGAGGGTGGAGCCGTAGTATGATATCTGCCGTGATATCTGCAGTGAAGCTGCAGTAGAATCGCGGCAGCGTTCATCGTCTCATTTGCATTCTGCGCGTACTAAAGAGAAGCCCAATCTGGGATAGAGTCGTCCTACAGTGGAACGTTTTCCTGCTCCCCCAATTTTCGCTGAAATGGGGGCAGCAGAGGGTCGAATAGCACAACATCAGCGATAGCCGCCGTCGAGATAACACCGCGACATGCAAAGACGCTGCATGCCAGTCCCATAAGCCGGTTGGTTGCAAGCATTCCGAACCCTGAAACGAATCCTTCGCAATGTCCCCCGACGGCATTCTCTAATCTCATGCCATGCGGCGACTTGGAAAGCAACCACTCAACCCAGGAAGCTGGGTGGCTGTTGGAAGCGGCGTCGAGGTTGGACTACAGTTCGATCAGTCTTGTTGGATACATCGTCGCAGGTCAAGACGCTTACCTTCGACAACTCCACGGCGCCGCTCGGACGGCTGGCGCTCCTGCATCTCCTGCTGAGCTTCCCGAGCCCGACGCTGCTCGTCCTCACGCGTCTTCCGATCCCAGTACTTCCTCATCGCATCGTTGGTAACGGGAGTACCACCTGAGGTCCGACCCTGGATCGGCGCTTCCTCCTCGAACATGCCGCGATACTCGTAGTGCTTCTCCTTGTGATTCAGGTACTTCTGATAGGCGTCCTGGGTGACGGCGGTACCGCTTGAAGTCGTGGCCTTCTGACTCGATCCTGGATTGAACTTGGCGCGGTACTCGTCATGTTTGGCTTGAGAGGGTGCGTCAGCATAAGCTCTAGAATACTACGACCGTGGAAGCGGGTTTCGACTTGCCTTTGTGCTGCATGTACTTGTCGAAAGCATCTTTGGTCACCGCAGTGCCTTCCTTCGACGACTTTCCCTCCTTGACCTGGCCCTCTTCTCCACCGGGTGGCGCGAGCAATGCCCGATACTCGTAATGCTTATCCTTGTAATGCTTGTACTGCTGATAAGCGTCTTTGGGCTCCTTCGGCTCGGGGTCCTTGGAGCGACTGCCGCCGTTGTCGAAGGCGCGCATACGCTCCATGGCGCGCAGGTCACGCATCGCGGCAGCGTAACCCTCCACGCGACCCACGTCGCGATTGATGTGATCGCGCATCCGACGACGACCCGGGATGATGACGCCGTTGACCGGGACGACTGGAACGAATGGACCAGGAATGCCGAAAGGAATCATGTTGGCGAGCTCGCTTGGATTCGCGCTTGTCGTTGAGCTCGACTCGGGCCGCTGGACAACGATGGCTCGTAAGGCGAATGGGAGGCGGAGCTGTTGACGATCCTCGCTCGTGTTGGGTTGGCGGTGAGCGGAAAGGATGTGGAATTGAAGGACTTTATATATCTCAAGGCAAGCAGCGGAGGTGAATGGCGGGACGGGTCGCATGCGGAAGGTTGTTGCCATGGAATCCGATGTCGCGGGTACTCGCCCAGGTGAATGAATTCGCCACCCAGGCGCAGTCACATGCCTCAAGTGGCTTTCCACTGGTTTTCAGGCTTTGACCTGCTCCCCCTAACGGGTGCCTCACAGTGGACAGTGCGCACATGTGTAGTGAAAACAATACATTCTGAAGACTTATCTGAGATCTCCTACCTGCTGACTAGGAGAAAAACGCAACGCGGCAGGGCAAATAATGACTCCCATTCTCTTCACGCGTACAGATCCTCCACCAACCCCGTCGCTCTCTCCATACTTTCTATTCTGTCCCGCCATCGGCCCTCCTCCCTCCCCTCCAGTCCAGAACTCCCAATATATATATCTCTCTCTCTCTATCTGCACCCTGTCCACGCAACATAAGGTAGCAAGCGCCCACACCACACCACACCGCCTGCCTGGACACGTTCTCTGCCGCGGCGGGAAACCAACATTGACCACGAACGAACGACCTCCATTGCCCCATCCTGCTCTCGTACACGCTGCACCACATCACCTGTTTGGGAGTCTCTAAGAGATTCGCAGGTGCCAGTGGGCCGTACCGGCGGTTGGGATACGCGTTGGCGATCCGTTCCTTGGGAATGGACTGAGTTCTTCCTTCCTCCTGTACGGGCGATTGATGTCGGCGATGTTGACGGGCTGCCCTTCGATGAGGAGGGACCGGACGGGTAGGTAGGTGTGGAGGGCTGGATTGGTTTGGTTTGGATTGGTGCATTGTATGTTCGCTCTGCTCTGCTCGATTTGAGTGGGCTTGCTCGGCGCGAGGGATGAATGCGGCGTTTCTCTGCAAGATTTCAATCGTCATGGATATGAAGCTGGGATCACAGCAGTGCTCTCGCCTCGGTTTCTAGGCGCATTGTTGGCAGGGCTGAGATTGCAATTCCGGCCATCAGGGTCGTCGGGACGGACGATGGTGATGTATTGGAGATGCATCGTGTCGAGAGTGCAACGGGACTTGTGTACGAAGATACATATGGTATGGTGGACTCGATAGGAGGTGTTGGGTGTGAGGAGGTCTTCTGGTTTCGGGTCCTCGAGTAAAGCGAGCAATGCTCGTCTTTTCAGCTGCAGCATCTCTGCTTCGACCTATGTGCTTGTTGTGCTTACCGTATCCGTCAAGAGCGCCGGAATCCAATCGGAGTCCTTGCTCGCAATTAGAGATTTTACTGTCTGGCAGCGGTGTGTTGAAGATGCTAGTGCTCCAGAGACAGCCGAACATGTTCACATGTATCGAGGATTAGATGGGTTGGACAAGGCTAACCCCTGAACGGGTCCCTGCAAGGAAGTCTGCGATTCGCTGACGAGGAGGGAAAACCAGGAGCGATGCTAGATCTGAGAAAAGTCAAAACGCACCACACGAATGCGTCTCTTACGGGACTCATAACCTTTTAACATATTAAGAATGAACAGTAAGCGGTTGGATGGATCAAGAAGCTGATTAGGCGGAGGAAGCAGTCTCACGACCAGCAGAAGCCTCTCCATGAGCTCTCTCGACGTTGAGAAGACGTAGCGCTGAGCGACGGTCGGGAATGGGGCTGGAGCTTCGCCTCGGTGGCAGGCAGTGAATCGCATGTCTGGAGAAGGCTTTACAACGTGGACTCCGGCCAAGAAGTCGCATAAAAAGCCATGCTCGTCTCTCGGGTGCGATGAGAAGCTACTTTCGAAGCGGCGAGCGTTCAGTCACAGAGCTCAAAGAAATGCGAGCCAGGCAGTCGCAGGTTTGAAGAGCCCTTAAACCAAAGCGGGATACGAAGGTCGATGACTTGCGAGCCTGAATCAGAGGCACGGCTCTTGGCCCAGGCTGGAATTCGGCAGGATGCCGATGTGCTGACGGTCATGCATGCGCTCAAGCGTCTCGGCCTGTCTCAGGGCCTTATTTCGACCTCACTCGCTCTTTGCTCCATGACAATTCTCCAACTCTCTACCTTCGCTCCTTTCCACGCCACGCCCGGACATTTGGCATTTTTCTACCGATGCACAGGTCGAGATGAGCCGAGAGCAATTTGGGTGGTGATCGACACCCCTGCGGATGCGAGACGATCGGCTACACAAGACATGCAGGTCGGCTGCGAGACGGCGCGTGGTATCGCGCGAGCGAGTGCAGGATGCAGGATGTGAGGAAGCGACGGTGGACTCGGGAGGGAGCGTACATGTATAGGTGGTACATGTACTGGTGATCGGGATGACGGGATTCTGCGATGTGTGATGGATGAAGTTGCAGGGCGGCAGTCGCTATCCAGCTGTAAGGTATGGCCGTCGCTATCAGGGCACAATCTTTGGCAGCTTCGACCCAGCGCGCACTAAGCGCAATCCGGAAGGTCAATCACATGTACTACACCAGATAGGCAGGAGCGTCTGCCCCGCCCGGGATCCACCATATCCACTCGGCACTCCGCCATCTTCATCGACTGCATGGGAGCCAATTCCGTGCACCTATCCGTCCATCCCGTCGTCGTGGGACTTTCTCTTTCGACATTATCCCTCGACAGTCACCATGAAGTTGACTCTGCCGGTGCTGGCATCTACCGCCGCTCTCGCGAGCGCACAGTGGCATGCAGGTGGGCACGGCGCTCATGGATTTGGTCGCGGATGGGAATGGGGTAGCGATGGCTACAGTGGCCATGGTGGCCACATGCACGCTCTTGCTGGTAATTCGACCCCTCGTCCTCTACATGACCGAAGAGCATGTGACGAATTGGAGACTGATATGGCCGCCAACAGGCAATCCGACCTCTTCGGGTTACGAGAATTCCACTTTCGACCAGCTCATCGACCACGAGAATCCGCATCTGGGCACCTTCTCACAGTTCTACTACTACAGCGACGAATTCTGGAAAGGCCCCGGCTCTCCCGTCATCCTGTTCACACCCGGCGAGATCAATGCTACGCGCTATTACACCTATTTGGGCACCAACCGCACTACTGGACTACTCGCTGAGAAGATTGGCGCCGCTGTCATAGTCCTCGAGCACCGATACTGGGGCCTCTCCTCACCATTCGCCGAGCTCACGACGGAGAACATGCAGTATCTCACCTTGGACAATGCTCTCCAGGACTTGAACTATTTTGCAAGTAATGTGAAGCTACCATTCGCGAAGAACATCTCCAGCAACGCCGCCGACGTCCCGTGGGTCATAATGGTAAGCCATCTCTTCTCCGAAAATCATTCCGGCAAGACATGGCACAACAGCCTACATGACCACATTACTTGAGAATCACATTCCGATACGTTGAGATGCTGTATACTGACATCGACATCCTGCAGGGCGGCTCTTACTCCGGTGCTCTCTCTGCATGGCTGGCCAACGTCTACCCCGGCACTCTTTGGGCGTACCATGCATCCAGTGCCCCTGTGCAGGCGATCTCGGACTACTGGGCATACTTTCTTCCGATCCAAGAAGGAATGCCCAAGAACTGCTCCAAGGATGTGACCCTGGTGATCGACCACATGGATGACATTTTGACGAACGGTACGACTCAGGAAATACACGATCTCAAGGCCAAGTTCATGATGGAGACGGTCGAACACAATGACGACTTCATGGATGCATTGGCCAATGGTCCATACTTGTGGCAAGGTAAATTAGGGTGCCCAGCGAGACCAGACGGGAAGCTGACAATCCTTGGCAGGCAACCAATTCTACACTAATACCGGGTTCTTCACCTGGTGCGACTACATCGAAAATGCTGTGAACAGTACCGGATCCACTATCGCTGGACCGGACGGAGTCGGCCTTGAGAAAGCCCTTGATGGGTACGCCTCTTGGTGGAAGACAATTGGCTTGCCAGGTTCGATCACCCATTAGTCCTCCGTATGAGTCTACCCTACTGACATGCTACATTTAGGTACTTGTGCTGCCACAGGCTACTGGACTGGCAACTATAGCACCGAATGCTTCGACACCTACAATGCGAGTAGCCCGGTCTTCACCGACACCAGCCTCAGCAACCAGTACGACCGGCAATGGGAATGGATGCTGTGCAACGAGCCCTTCGGCTACTGGCAGACCGGCGCGCCGGAGAACAGGCCGACGATCGTGAGCAGACTGGTCACCCCAGAATACTTCATCCGGCAGTGTAGCTTGTACTTCCCACCCGGACCGGAGGGGCAAACCTATGGCATCGCCAAGGGCAAGACAGAGGCTCAGGAGAACGCGTACACCGGCGGCTGGTTCATCGACAACACCACCCGCCTGATCTTTGTCAACGGCCAGAACGATCCTTGGAGGGAGTCCGGCGTGTCTGCTGAATTGCGACCCGGCGGACCTCTGCAGGGAACGTCTCAGGTTCCCGTTGAGATCGTGCCGGGTGGATACCACGCCAGCGACTTGGTCTCACAGAACGGCGAAGTCAACCCCGCAGTCCAGGCCGTGCAAGATCGCATCCTGCAGCAGTTGGCAGACTGGGTCGCCGAGTACCCCAGGAAGCAGTACTGGAAGGCCTGAGCGGAGGGCGAATCCTTCCAAAATAGACAACCAGACCAACATGCTAATCTCTACCTGATCTCCATCTCGCCCATCTGTGTGGACCCCTCGTCTTCATACGGGCTCGTAGATCCCGAGCCTTTAGAACCCAACACCTCCTATCCCGCTATCTAACCCAGCAGCGTTCTGCAGACTGAAACACCCCCACCTCCCTGTCTCGTCAGTCTACTCTCTCCGGAACCGATACATTCATTGCCACGTCTCTCCTCATCACACCCACCGGTAGTCCATGAAAAGTATAACGCATCAAAGTCTCGGCCTCCGTCTCCGCCCTCAGCGCAATTATCAAGCACCTCCATAGAACCATCCCATCCATATGTATCCCTGCCGCTACTTGAACTCGAACTTGAACTTGACGAAGATACTCATCGTGACACAACGCTACGAGTTCACCCACTGAGCCTATATATCCATTTTTTTCAAAGACATGCATGCATGCATGCATGCGCTCAGCCAGCCATATCTTTTAGAAGGTAGTATCCTCCGCGCACCAATCGATAGAGAGACGCTTGTATGAGCCCCTAGTGCGACCGCCGAGTCTCTCTACAGAATAAGATGGCCAGCTGGCTGATGTAAAAATATGCTGGAGCTTTTTCGAGCACGCCGCTCATGGGAGTCTGTGAGTCTGTGAGTCAGCACCGCACGGAGGGTTGGATAGCCAGATAGCTGCCCTGGAGAAGAGGGATCGGTGAGGACTTGGAGGTCTTCGTTAGGGATGAATGGATAGGTGTGATTGAAACAGATGAGAATCAAAAGTGCCGTATCAGGAGCGTGGGACATGGATATTGGGAGGTAAATTTGTCTGCCGCTCTTGCTAGGAGTCGCGGAGCGGAGTTCGCCGAGCAGAGGGAGGGAGCGAGCGAGCGTGATGATACCTGATCCGCAGAAGGATGCAGTATACTGTACACTACTACTGACGACGACGCGAGGAGGAACAGTAGCACAGGTAGAGTTTTCTGGGTCCCGGGACTCGTGAGGACTTCGCTGATCGACTGATCCCACCTTTTCTGTTTGCACGTGGGCAAAAGAGTCTGTCTGAACTTGCTGATGCAATGGAAGTTCAGTGCCGAAACACCGTTCGCGAAAAGACCTTGTCGAGGAACTGCACGATTACCAAAACCTTCGAAAATTCGGTTACATTGGGAATAGTCTCCCGGCTTTTTAAGATGAGATGACGCTTGAGCAAAAAAGGAGGGAATTTTGTTGGAAGAGGAGCTCACTTTTCATCGATCAATATTCGATCTTGCATCGAACGCACAGCAAAATCCGGAAAGAATCTCACCTCACTCACTCACTCACTCACTGCCAGTCGAGGCATTCCTCCACCACGATACGATCCAAGTTCTCCACGAGCAACGAGTTGTCCATGCGAGCGTAGATGGAGGCCAACTTCTCCAGGACAAGGCAAATGGCTTCGGACCTCTGCATCTCGCTCGTCATGTACCGTCGTCGATCGGAAGGACCGATCCGGCGGAGGGCTTGCTCCAGCATCCATCGGATGCGTTGCTGGTCCACGGGCGCGGCGGTGAGGGTGGGGTCCCATCCGTAGTACTGGTCTCGCCACTTGCCGTCGACCTTTTCACGCACGCAGGTGGGATCCGAGTTCTTGCCCACTTCGGCGTCGTTTGCCTCTGATAGGCGGGCGAGCGGTGGAGCGGCTTCGTCGTGCTCGACTCTGGCCAGGGGTGGAGGAAGCTCACCTAGGTGATCGTCTTCTTCGCCCAGGTAGTGTCGCATGGCACCTTCTTCAACGCGCAGAGCTTGCAGAAGTTCGCGGAGCTCAAATTTGTAGTTTGCGGCCTGGACGAGGAGGTGGATGAAAGTTGCGTCGTCGGCCGTGTGGCAGAATTCCACCACACAGACGAGCAGCGAGACCCAATTCAAGATGGTGGGCTGGTCTAGCGTACCCGTGTGCTGTCGGAACTCCACGGTGTGTTTGAGGTCTACATCATAGCGATCCTGCTCGGGGTCGGCGAAGGAGTTGTCGAAGTTGAGGGTGGAGTTCTTGCCATTCATGATGTCTTCGACTCCGTTGTATGGTATCTCGTAGAGCTTTCCGAGTTGGGCTATGGAATGTGCACGTTGGATGGCATGGAGCCATTGCAGAGCCGACGATGAAGTCTCTCCGTGACGCATCCGGTGGAAGAATGACAATGGCGCGTAGAGCGGAGCACCGCAGTACTTGTCGGAAGAGGAGTCCGGATGTGCGGGAGCAAGGATACGATTAGCACTGTGCAGAGAATCAAAGGCTCGCTCGTGAGCGGTCATGAGTTGCATGATCCGTTGCGCGGTATGGAAGGGCAAGTCTTTTCCAGCATTGCCAACGTGCACATGGAAGCCTGTGCTCATGTTAGTGTAGAACCTACATCTGTACGTCTCTTCCATGTCGAAGAGAACCTTGAGCACGGCAGCTACGCCCTCTCGACCGTCGGCCAGAGAATTGAAGACTCGCGACGCGAGCTCAACAACGACGAGCTCGTGGCCTTCTGGGATCGCCTGGGTCTCTGCGTCTGATAGATCCAGGCCATCTTCCATTTCTACGTTCCACGCAGTGTGCGGCTTTTCGTTCTCTACCGAGCCAGGCTCTTCCAAACCAACAGCAGGGATTCCGCTGAGATTTAGGAAATAGTGGATCGCACGGTCAGCTTTGACATGGTCGTCGTCTTCGCCTGGGACAAGACCAGGCCACTGTCCGATGAACGCCTGCTTGGGATAGACACAGAGGATCTCCAGTTCCACGCCGAACGTGATGTTGAGACGATCCATGGTCTCGAATAGGTATAGTCAGATGTAGGTCTGTCAGTTTCGAGGTTGTATATTCGTCAACAAGTAGACGGGATGCTTGTGAGGTGTTATATGAAGCATCTGGAGGATCCGACGCGAGCCATGTTGATTGTAGTCGAGTCAATGAGACAAAGACCCCCGAGAGCTTCGACTTCAAGTCAGCCATTGTACAGTCGCCGCCGAGTATTGTTCGCAACAAAGCTTCTTTCAGTGAAGAACATCTGCAATTTAGACTCTCCCTGGAACAAAAAAGGACAAAGACTGCGTGTGAGCATGGAGCCTTCACAGGTCCTGCAGATGTCAGTAGGCGCGGTGGGCAGGGATCTTGCTTCTGGTCTCGCCGATCGAAGGATGAGGCTCATTTCTCTCGACTGCGCTGCTCCCTCCGATAAGAGATCGCAGCGCTTCCAATGCGTTCAGAGAGAGTGTGTGGATGAACATTGCGGCACCCTCGAGAGTAAAGGACTAAAGGTCTTGAGCCCCGCGGAGTATGCATGAAAGCAAGATAGATGTTTCCAGTTGACAGACGCGCATTGTCATGTAACAGGTAACAGGTCCAAGCATCGAAACGACTCGTACAGCCTTTGTGGAGCTGACGAGGCTTGGAAGATCAAGCCATGCTGTGCATCCGAAGCGAAGATTGCTACTGTGCCAAGCTACTGGTCGCGGTATTGGCGTCGCGTGCTGCGCTCGTGCACTACTGCAAGTGCCGGTAGCCGCATGTGGAAGCGATATCCAAATCTGTTCACGGTGTTCACAGGGTGGTACGAGGTTTGGACTGGAATGGAGCAAGAGCTCTTCTGCGACACTGCTCCGATGCACGTCGCGGGAGAGGTGTCAATGAATTGGTGAGTTGTGAATTGTTGGGGGTGGACGTGGAAGAAGACGTTGGATCTGCACCAGTCACCAGTGGACGTTGGCGGGACGGGCCCGCAGCGAATCCGCGGGGGCCGGGCAGCCGCCTGTGGTCCGGCTCATCAGGAGGTCGCGTGCAGGGATGTCGGGAGTCGGGAGGCGGCGCATGCAGGAACGGCAGCCGAAGTCGGCAATGTTCGGTGCCGATCGAGACGACGGCACCTGCCACATCCCGCGAAGAAGCAGCTGTGGCAGGAGCGAGATGGTGATACCTGCGCGCACGAGGAGGACAAGCGTGTCTCGTCTCCTGATGACGCTCCGGAAATCTCGCCCGGGCTGGCTGATGGGGAAAGAGACGCACGGCGGACGGGAAGATGCCTGTCCATGTCTGCAGCGACGTCACGTCGTGGCGTCGCGCGGGTGTGTCGTGTGGAGCGCTCTCGATCGACCTCTGGCACATTGGGCAATCATGGGCGTTGGACGGGGGAAACTCTGCGGGATGGCCTCTGCCACACGGCCGTCGCCTGGTGTTCTGGTGTCTGTTCGTTCGCGACGACTTCTCGTTGCCGCGCCGCACGACACCGCCCCATCCGAAGTCTGTCCTCCAGGTACCGGGACTACTATCGCGCTGTACTACCCTCTTCCACGCATGAAACCCCCCTTCTCCGCCTCCCCATCTCTTTCTTCCTCTTCCTTCCCATCATCTGTCATCGCATCGAGAGAGGGAGGGAGAGAGAGAGAGAGAGAGAGAGAGAGAGAAAAGGAAGAGGGAGAGAGAAGACGCGCTGCATATCCACCCGGAGACGACTACCGCTACCCTCCGCCACCACTTATTGTTCGACAATCCGCACCGTTCTGGACGAGCGTCCGGGAGCTATCCGTCTGGTCCTGCATCTTGCTGTTCCCTCAGAGCGCCCTGCCCTCACTCAGCATGACCGCGACCGGCGAATCGCGCGCTGCGATGCCCAAGCGAGATGTCAGTCCGCTGGGCGCCTCTCGCTTCGAGCGCCCATATAGCCCTCGCAGCGTCCACACCTCGGCCACCAACTCGCCTGACACTCCCATCGGCAGCAAGAGCAATCTGCCCTTCCCCAAGGACCTCCCTCGCCCAAACAGAGGTAGACCCGCCTCCGTCTTCTCCAAGGAAACCATGGAGACCGCTCCCACCTCCGTCGCCTCCGCCCACGACTACCGCAAGGACAGCGTAGAGAGTCCGGTGTCGGTGGTAAGTCCAGCACGTAAGCACTCGACAAGTTGTCTCTGACTGTTCGCACCAGCTCTCACCCGACGATTGGTTTGCCAAATTCCGCTGCGACGAGGAACCCGGATTGCAGAGCGACCAATGCCCCGACCGAGCCACCCTCGCCGCCGTTCAGGACATCCCCCTGTACGATGCAGAGGGCCAGCCGCGACCTTTCGGCTCCCTCTACAGCCCCGAGACCGCAACCCACCAACGCCAGCTCCTCATCTTCGTCCGCCATTTCTACTGCGGTGCTTGCCAGGCCTACCTCCAGGCCGTCACGGAGAGCATCAGCATGCCCGAATACTTCTCCATCCCCATCCCGACCTCGATCATCATCATCGGATGCGGTGAGGCTTCCATGATTCCGCACTACAAGACCTTCACCGGCTGCCCCTTCCCCATGTTCGCCGATCCCACTCGGACGCTCTTCAAGAAGCTCGGCATGACTTTGAGCGTCAACATTGGCAGTGAGAGGCCGGAATACATGAAAGACATCAGCCCTGCTGCGTGGGCGGGTGGCCAGGTGACGACGGTCCGGAAGAGCTTGAAGGATCCGGAAGGTATCCGTAAGCGGGATATCTTGAAAGGAGGCAACCTTTTCCAAATTGGTGGAGAATTCATGTTCGACGATGGACAGGTAGTGTGGTGTCATCGGATGAAGAACTACCGAAACCACACCGACACCAAGCTGTTGAGGAAGATCTTGGGGCTGGACGACTGAGACGTCGTGGCTGGAAGTTTGAAAGCTACCTGGGGCTCCTCCAAGACATGGGATGGGGCTCCCATCGACATCTACCTGTTCTCATCGTACCTCGACCTGCGAGGTATCATTCTGACGAAGAGACCTCCGAGCTACACCGCAAGAACGGACAGAAGTAGCGCGACTCCACAAATCGGATCGGGAGATGGGAAGTCGTAGGAGAAGACCCTCACCCCATGATGTACGTGTGGCACGAGGCGTGTCACTCAAACGGCGGCCGCGGAATCTGAAGTTTCCTAACCAGGGGCTTACCCCCAATCGCCGAGAAACAGAGTGTTCCAAGAAGACGACCAAAGAAGGCTGGCACCAAGCGGATTGGAGAACAGCCCACCCAACAGAAACGACCTGACAGTCGCGGGTAGAGCCCGTGGTTTGTAAACAGCAGTACATGGCCGAGCCACCAGCGGCGGCATTTGATTTTGATACCCATAGAGCAAGAAAGCCAGTAAGCAGAAAGCAGCAAGCAGAAAAGTAGGACCAGTACACGACTTCTATAACCCAACGACAGAGATTACATACATACCTTCATATATATTCTTTCCCATATCACATGTTCCTCGGCCCTCTCTTTTCGTCTCCCACATACATATATATATATACATTACATATTCTTTCCCATATATAACGTTGTTCCTCGACCCTGTCAACCTGTCTTTTCGTCTCCCCCACTCGCACACAAACGTGCCAAACCCCCCTTCGACGAATGCTCCTCGCACATACAACATTGCATCTGACAAAAAACTCTCGCGGCCTTTTATCGCTAAATAATCCACTGACGCAGGTTCCACGGAATGTTATTATAGTTACAGTTGTGCAGATGGAAGTCTATATCTCTATATCTATTATAGGCCCATGACTCGAAATTCACGAGCCGCGGCACATCTTCACAGCATCTTATTAGTTCTGCTAGTCCTAGTCCGGCCCCCTGCCCGACCCTGCCTGACGTATTCTTATGATTAAGAACTTGGAAGACTTTCCATTCCTCTTCCCGATTTCCCTCTATATAGATAGAGTAGCTTCTGCTGTGATTGATTCCTTGCCTGGGACAGAGCGTTGTGCGTTGTCCAGGCGAGGAATTACAGATGATTCGGTCTCCCGATCCCAGAGAAGAGGCAGGGGCTTGCGTGAACTGGTCGAATGCGTTGTCAGGAGATGATTTCACGGATCGTGATGGGAACAGAGAGCGGAGCGGAGCGGCGGGAGACTTGTGAGAACACGCCGTGAAGCGTTGGAAATTCCTCGTATTCGTGGGGCGGGCACATCGCCCGTCTACTTCGTGATCATCACCATGCGGACCCCGGATACCCCATGCCCAGTAATGCGTTATGCCCATTCATTCTCCGCGGTCTGTACCCGCGGATCCTCTCCAGAACGCCCAGAAACACTCGCTATGCTGTACTATGCTGTAATCGCGGGTATCATCCTCTCAGTAGCCGTTGCCAACCCTCCCAACGTCCCATCCGCCCTTGAGCTTGGGTATTTCCAAGCCGGCCAGACTCATATTGACCTTGTGCAGCCGCAACTGTAGCGTTCGCTCCACCTCCTCGGCCGTCTTCTTCGCGGCTTGGTGTGTAGCCTGCCTCGGATCCTGCGTTGGCGCGATGAGCACACCGTTCACAACGTCCAGTCGTGCGTTGAGCGAGCCGCTCTCGATCATGTCAAGGACCTCCACCTCCATGGCGTCCGGTGCGCTAGACGCTGGAGGGAAGGTCGACGCGAGCGATTGGAGGCTGACTTCGGAGAAGGACGAGAAGTAGGCCGTGATGCTGCGCTCGCGAATCTGCGCAAACAGGCGGTCGACGTGCGTGCCGATGATGGATGGGTTCGTGGCGCCGAGGAAAAGATCCAGGCTCCAGTCACTGTGGTAGCGGCGCAGGGTATCGATGCAAGACTGATACTTTGCGGTGGTATATTCACTGATCGCCTTCCGCAGATGGGGTTCTTGCTCCAAGAATGCACGAAACGGACCGCCGAGGACCACACTCACCAGCTCTTCCCGCGTCATCGTAGCCAGAGCACACAAGCCGCCGTAGATGGCCACGTCGTTGGCGGAGGCCACCTGCTTCTCGAAGTCGATTTCGTGTACCTTTCCCATGTTGTGGTAGTCGAAGGGCGTCTTGAGGAGCGCGTCCGCTGCGGAACGGTAGTCGGCCATTCCGAGATGTGCGATGCCTGTGGCTACGTGCGAGATGGGCGTCAATCTGCTCTGCTCCTCATCTTTGACGCCACTGCGAAAGATTCGACCCGCGTGATTGAGGACGCTCGAAAAGCCGACACCAGGAGAGCTGCCCGCTTGCTGAGCTGCTGCTGCCTGGACCAGCGCGGCGTACAGCTGGCGCAGATTCATACTGTTGATATGAGTGGGCGTCGTGCAGTAATCCCGCATCTTGCCGAAAGCCTGCCACGCCGCGTTGTAGCCCGAATTGCTCACACTCTGTGGATTTGAAGGATCGGGAATTGGACCGCCGGTGAGGAGATGGTGCATCGCGAGGTCTTCCTGGCCCATGCGGATGCTCTCGCGAATCAGATTGTTCTTATACCCTCTCAACTCTCCTTCCAGCTTGCTCAACTCCCGTCGGTTCTCCTCATCCTTCCGCGACGCCCAGTCAATGTCCACATTAGCCAGATCTTGTAATTCGAGGCCCGCGGCGAGTTCGGTGAGTCGGTTGTACGTCTGCACGTCCTTGCCCTTCTTCGTGAAATCGATTGCCATGGCGAGCGCGGGGCGGGAGAGTTGCGGACATCGGATGGCGACGTGGGCGAGGCGAAAGAGTAGCAGCGTGCCTAGCCGAACAATCAGTCAAGTCATTCGTCCTTGCGCATCGCAGCGGGAAAAGGTACCCTCGTAGTTGTTGGCCCATGTGTCGAGATCGAAGGTTGGCGGTGGTACGTCGCCTAGATCCACGTCAGTGTGCCAGCCAGCAGAAACGGATTGATGAGGAGTTGCCGACCGATGCTGACTTTGCGCGCCATGGCTACGTCCCGATCTGATGCAGCGCGACGCTGAATAATGAGGGTTGGAAGAAGTGTGGGAGATGGAAGGTCAGCAGCAGAAGGCTCGGCCAAGTCGAAGCTCTCGAATGTTCGAGCTCCGAATCCGAGGAAGCTCGCGGGGTGCTCAAATGCCCGAGCTTTCGCCGAGCTTCCGAACTATAGCGGCACAGCGGCGACTCCCGTCACTTCACAGACGGGCAACAGATTCACACACGCAAACGACTTTCCTCTTCATCCTGGGGCCTGGCGCCAGCGCTCGATCAATCCGTACGACGGCTCATACTAACGCAATACGATCTCGACGAGGCCATGTACCACCATAGGACGGAAATAATGCTGCATTGACAAAGGAACTCTGGGCGTTGATGCTCCCAATAAGCGTGTTTTACTGCTGCGGTGGCTACGAATGGATTGAGCAGTCACTTCTCACGCGTAACTCGGCCTTTTGCTCTGCCTGGCGTGTACTTCGCCCATCCACGGGACGCTCACAACGTCCATCCAGCGCGGATGCAAACAGGAGGTCAGTCCTACAGATGTAAATGGAACAACCAAATCCACACTCAAGGCCATCGAAAGCGCAGTCGAAGTGTGACGGACACCTTCTGACAGTACTCTGCCTAACCTGAAGCGTCCTTTCTCTTCGATGGACAAGACGAGTCCGCAGTGCTGAAGGTGTTGGAAGGGAGCTCCCAGGGTACAGCCCGGTGGATCGATGATAGCTGGTTGTTCCAAGATTTAGGTGACGTCTCTGCGAATCCAGGTACCGGTACAGGCCACGGTTTGAGAGGCGCCCCGCGCTCGGGCTCACGACGAACGCCTGTGACTAGTAGCCAGCGTGTACTGTGTCCGGAGGACTGCATCTACGTGACAAGCCGTGATTCCAGGAAGAGGATCGAGATGCAAGGCTCACTACACCTACTGTCGTCGAAGGTGTTGAAGGCGTTGACGGTGTTGCAGGTGTTAGAGGTGTCGAAGGTGGGGTATGATGAAGTCGTTCGGGTCGGGAGATGAGCGATGGCAGTGTGCCACGATGATTGCTTGGCGTCTGCAACGGCCGACTTTGCTGGTCATCAATTGATTAATAAAGCTCCTTCTCCGCAAGCCCCCATGCCCGATCGGGACCAGGGAGGGAAACTCAATGCGCCGCTAGTTTCTGGTGGGGAGAGAAAGTCCATCTCATCATTCCCGCCCTTCCCGCCCAAGTCTTCGTCGCTGCCGACCTCCAGCTCGTCGTCGCCGCTTCCTCGAGCAAGCACGGCACGTGCCCGGCCACCATCCTCACCTTTGTCGCTCGTTTGATGCCTCGACTAAAGCAGTGAGCGCCGTGAATTCATCCATAAGCACGCACAGGACGCCTCCGAACGCCCCCGGCCCCAATACGAGCGCCAACCGACACGCGAGATTACCGCTGCGACTCTCACATTCCTCGGCGCATCCTCTTCCACGCCCAAACACGTCCTCGTCGACACAAACGAGAGGCGCCACCACGGTACACAGCATCCGGCCTTGCCGCGGCCGAAACCCGCTCTTTGCGGCTATCTTCAGTCTGATCAGCTCACGAGTGTCGCCCAGGACACCATGGGCCTCTTCGTTGCATCCATCGCGCTCTTCGCCGTGCTCGCGTCCGCACAGCAAGGCGTCCTTTCGAACGGCAACAGCCAGCTCCCGCAGTGTGCTCAGTCTTGCGCGCTTCTCCAGCAGGCAGCCCAGGCATGCAGCGGTACCGACACGGCCAACGAGCAAGTCTGGATCTGCTTCTGCCAGTCTGCCTACCTCAAGAATCTCTATCAATCGGCAACTGGCGTATGTGATAGCGCCTGTACCAACCAGGCGGACCTTCAGCAAGTCTCGACCTGGTACAAGAGCAACTGCGGCACCGATAATGGTGCTTCGGAACACGCTGGAGACGCTGCTGCGAGTTCGACGACCGTCGCCGCTGCCAGCAGTACCTCGGGAGCCGCGAGTGCAGCCGCGACACCTTCCGCCTCCTCCGGGTCGAGCAGCAGTAACCGGTCCAAGACATCAAGCACCCAGAGCGGCGATTGGTGGAGCAATCACTACGTGAGTGTCCCCGACCATCAACAGTCCTGGTCATGACTAACCCCTTCACAGCAATGGATCGTCATGTTGATCGTTCTCGCTATTGCCTTCCCCATCATGGGCTTCCTTGCCGCCTGGCTCAAGCGCCGGCACGATCGCAAGCAAGATCAGATCCGTGAAGGGTTTAATGCTGGCATCACGAGCCGCTCGGCAGGTCCAATGGGAAATCACGAGAACAACTCCAGCGCAGTAGCGCCTGCCGCTGTGGGAGAGAGTGGACAGAGCTCGCCTAAGCGGACAAGAGACGCTTTCATGCCCTACGGGTACGGATACAACCGGAGCGAGAGCAGATTTGGCTCTAAGCAGGCGGTGGGCGATGACCGCAGGAGCGCACTGGCGAGTGGAGAGGTTGCAGCCGGTGACCAGGAGAAGCGCGGTGCCGCGGGCACGCCGGGAAAGAGGAAGTCGAAGGGAGTGCTGGTGCGCGAGCGCAGCGCTCAGGACAGCATTGAGACGGAAAAGGGCACAAGGCCGTAGTCAGTCCATGGCAGGCCATGCGTGGTAGAATGAGTAATGGAACCCAAGACATGTACATTCATAGAGTGTTGCAGGTCCTTCCCTCGTATCGTGCGTATTCTCGCCAGGCTCGGTGTCCGTCTTGAGCAGAAGATCAGGAACCAGAGCGCAGGAAAAGAGGATCATCGCAAGCGCTATCCTGCAAAACGGAACGCGTCATCTGGTAGTCCACGACATGCCATGGGAAGACGGCGCCGGCTTGCTTCTGCGGCGGTTTCTCGGCTGCGCTTCCACTCCAAGATCGCATGCGACTCTGTTTCGACTTCACGTCTTGTCCCGGTGCACTTGGGCGGCAGTCACTGATCTTTACAGATGATTGTCCTCGGCGTCTGTACATCTACACACGACGTCGGACGAAAGACGTTGTCCGTGCACGAATCCTGCCCGGCAAGCCAAGCCAAGGCCCCCTGAAGGTCACGCCGGCTGTGGAAAGGACAAGTCTTCGCCGACATCAACTTCCCCGTTCCGCCCACATTATCATCAGTGCTCCCAAAACATCGACGAACCCTCCGCAATCACCGTCCTCCTACGCCAAGTCCATTCGCAGGTGCTTGTTGCCGGCAGAAGGATGGCCCTGGACCGCAACGCATGCATCCCAATGTCATTCCGTCAAGCCAGGCGCCTCAATCGCTGTCCCCGGTCAAGTCGATCACCTCGCCGGTGCATCGCGATCTGCACTGCCGCCGAATGAGTGCATTGAGCACTCCCGAATGCTCTGCCGAAAGATACCGCTCTTTGCTGCGCCAGACCTCGTGATGCCCCCGTCCCCACTTGGCTTCCTCTGCCAGCAGGAGCTCCCAGAAGTCCTGCAGCATCAGCGTCTGCGCGCATGTGCACCGGCTGATGATGAAGCGAACCTGCAGATCTGTCAACTCGCCGGGTTCGAATTGCTCGTCGTCGTGAATCGCGTCTGGTGGGACGTCTCGTGGATCCACTCCAACATCCGGATCTGTGCAGCGGAATGGCTTAGGGCAGGTATGCGGAGTTTCCAGCTTTGCGAGCGATTGCTCGACAATAGTCAAGTACGAGAGAGCTGGTCTTGGTGTCCGGCGCGGCGATCTTTTCGGAGCCTTGCTCAATGTTCCAGGTATGGTCGCTCTATCCTCGCCATTGATTGAGACGAATGGCCTTTTCAGCGGATTGTCGAGTCGGCGCGAGCCTGTTTCCTCGGACTCGGCACTGCCATGACCATTTGCTTGCGTGCCTGGCACCAGCAAGGTCAACTCTTTTGCAGAGGGCACCCTTGGGTCCACGGCCTCCGGGACCACAGGTCTCGGAGCCGAACTAGCTTGTGACGGAGGCGAGCTCAACGGCGTAGCGCTCATCTCATTGAAACCGGATCGAGGAGAACTCTGCAGCCGAGGGTCGTCCCTCTGGGGAGTAGAAGAGGGAATAGAAGAAGGTCGTAAGGGCGGCCCTGGCAGGGCTTGGCTTGTGGCTTTCAATGTCTCTTCTCTGTACCACGCATCTACCAGTCTTAGCAAAGACACACGACAAGACCACGGCAATCTGCTCACCTCTATGGTGGTATTCGCATCGGGTGTGATGGCGCCAGTATGCGCAATTGGCGCATGCGCCATTGAGATGTACAGGAAGTGTCACGCAAAATCGGAAAGGACCTCCACTCTCCCGACAGTGCGAACATGGCAATCTCCGTGCAAGACCAAACATGTATACCAGACATGCTCTGACAATGTTCACCTGACTAAGTCGAAATTCCTTGTTGGTGAAATGGTCGAGGACTCGGAACCGTTGGCGAATTCGTTGGTTCAAGAAGCGCAAGATTGTGTCTCTTGCGGGAGCTGCGGGAGCTGGATTCTCCACCTTCAGCTCGAGACGAAGAAGTTCAAGGAAACTGATGCTGTAGTCAGCACCCTTACAAGGCACGAAGTCCTCAGTGAAGACATCCGGTGGTAGCTGTCCTCGCCGCCTTGGCCATCCTTCCTCCGGAGGTAGGAATCTCGATGGAACCTCTGGCTTGATGTACCAGCTCGGCGCGAGATTTTCCTGGGCGTCAGATTTCTTCTGCGGATGGTGAAGTCGCTCGTAATCTGCAACAGCCTCTTTGGGCATCTCCCAATCCGGATGCCAGGTGTCGAACCATTCAATCAACACGTTCTGCTCCGAATTCGGTCTTGGCAGGATCATTTTCGATCGAATCCGCCACGAGTACCCGGTCGTATCCATGACACGATCTCCATCTTCGGCGGCGTACACGATGGCTAAAGGGTGCATGGTATCCTCCCATTCCACCAATCGCTCGATTATGCCGTCTTCGTCTTTCTTGTCTCGTATTGACTTCACGGGGAAGTCGCGGTCTTCGAGTCTTTGCTGTGGCAATACGATTGCTGCATCCTCGACGGTCTCTTCAGAATCACGCCGTCGACCTTCAGCTTCTTCTACCGTCTGGTGTGGCCGGATTTCTGACTCTGGCCGTTCTTCGAGACGACTCGTCGGCCTTCGAAGTTTTCCGGCGGTGGAGCCAGATTGGACTTCCCGTGTGGCTGGATGTTGGCCCCTACTAGATTCAGCATTGATGGGCCTGAATGCCGAACTGATACGATCTATTGAAGATGTTAGATATCTGCAGGCAAGTCTTAATCTACGATCAAAGTGCTCAGGCGTTGATAAATATCGGCTCTCTGGCTCTCTTATCCGGAAGCGTGCTGCAGAGCTCTCAGAACTTCCAAGCATTACGCTCGATGAGATATCGTCATTGCTGATGCAGAAAACGAATGAGATGGCGGGCCGACCTCAAGATATGTACTGACCTTCGAGAGGCATGACGGAGTCGACAGACACGCGCGGCACGGCCTCCGGACTTGGTGCAAAGGCACGATGTCGGCGTTGTAGCGTCAGCAAATATGAATCCAGATCGAGCTCCCGAGCAAGCAAGTATCGAAGCTCAGATTCGGACTTTGGATTCCAGTGGGCTTGCATGAAATCCGTCCGCTGTTCGGCTGGCGTGTTGAGATTGATGCATTGTGTGAGAAGCAGGTCTAAGTACGACTGTACCACGACGCGTGACGCGCGCGCGTTCAGCATACCACCCTTCGTCATTGCCGGATGGTAGACCTCGTTCAGGGCCCGAGAACTCTTTGCCGTGGTGAGGCGAGCGCTCGCGATGGAGCCCGGTTGCAAAAGCAATATCGACCCTTGGCTGCTCCTTGTCCGCCAAATCAAATTCAAAAATGCTCCCGGCCCATGTCAGCCGTCCCAATTGAGAAGTCCAATTGCCGCTGCAGGCCAGGAGCAGATTGCACACTGGGATCCGTGTCGGGCTTCAAAGACAGCATTTGACGGGGCGTGATGGTCTCGCTGTTCGTCGGCGTGTTCGACGAGACGCACCACTCGACCCCATTCTTGTTCCTGCGAGGCCCAAAAGATGCCAGAGACTAAGCCTTTCCGTTTTGTCTTCGATCACAGCATGGAATCCGAACAGTTAGACGCTGCCGGCCGTAAGAGGAAAGGGACTCCTCTTCCAACGTGCACGCCTGAGCGCAATGCGAAGAAGCGCCAGTACGAACGATGGGGTAACGAGGGAGCATCTGTCTTGAAGTCGCCTCCCACGGTGGCAGTTAAGGAGGAGCCCAACTTCCCACAGCGTTCCAATGCTGAACAATCATCACAAACTGAGGGATGCGGTTCGCAGGCGGAATCCTCTCCGCAGGACGCGGAAAACCCCAGCTGCACGCCCGCCGACCCTACGGCCGCTCCGACGGTCGATGAGCTCAACGTCTCCCTGAACTTGCTGCTGCAGTTTCCTCCCGATCACCAACTCTACGGCGCAGCCATACAAGTTCTCGCCGAGCGACATATGAAGAGGCTTCTCGAGAGCTCGCTCCCCGTTGAGAAGATCACCAAGTGGCTGAGCAAGCAACTTCGAAAGAACGGTATCGGCAAGGCCACGGATCGAAGGCAGATTTACAAGGCACTGCGCGACTACGAATCTCCGCGCCTCACGGGGTGGCTGAAGTCTACCATTCCGGATGAAGGGCTTCTCGGAAGCATTTGCAAGGAGGTGCTGGATAGCCTAGGCAGCCATACAAAATCGAGGAAGAAGAGAAAGCGAAGTGAAGGTATGCTATACAATGCGCTTGCACCTTCGGGTCTGTCCGCTAACGATGTCCCAGCAGATTCAGTCTCGTCGGAAGCCAGTGGCGAAGCAGACTCTGGTAAGCAGCAGTACGCATACCGCGAGTCATCGGGCTGTCTCGCATCGGCTTTATGTCTTCGGCAAGCTGACCATACGGCAGACTTTGATCGGGAGTACTTTCTATCAAGCGGACCTTCAGAGCGGACGAGACTAGTGAAGAAATATTTCCGCGAGGCCCGGGACTTGTTCAGCCATCATGCATTGCGCCATATCATCTGGTCCATGGACTCGTTGTCTGATCTTGACGAGGAAAATACTCGCTTACTGGTCGAATCGTCTTGGGAAGAAATGGCCGGCGACGATCAGACTCGCTGGGGGCGATTGCTTTCCGCTGTCATCTCCAAAGACAACGCCGGTTTATGTGACGACGAGGCAACCACTATACTCAATCAGCAAGGCTTCTTGGCCCACCTCGTCACACGTTTAGGCAAGAGACCTGTCCAGCGACCACTAGCGGCATCCTGTCCGTCGCGTACATGTCAACCGGCGCACAGTAACGCCTCGCCTGAGCAACCCACCGAGGACGCCGGTCTACGGTCTTGCAACTCTGACAGGAAGCTCACTTCTAAGCAAGAGGCTGCATTGAGCCAACCACAGGACACAACGTCCTCCGCCTCCACGACGCTGATACCGTTCGTCACTTGGCCGCCAGTGCCGGGAACGTTCACATTTCTCCTTCCTATCAGCGGGCCCGGATGCCCCATCGCTGATCCCTTCCCTGCAGAAGCGGAAGCCGCCTGTAAACTTGCTTTCGGTCCGAAGCACGCTCAAGGCAGCGTGTCTCAACTCAGTCCGCACGTATGGATTGCACGAGTCGCAGTCACCAGGTTGACTGAAATCTCGGACACGCTCAACACCGCCCTATGGATCCGGGGCTTTCGTTTCCAGCCAGAGCGCCTTCCTATCGCTCCACCGCGTGTGTTCGAGGCCGACTTCTCTGAAATGAATGGTATGCCCTCGTCTTGGATACCCAAGCTCGTTCTTGACGCTTTCGAGAACGCCGGAGAGCTCCCAGAAATCCGAGAAGAACAACGATCGAGGTCCCTTCGGCGACGATTCGTCTTATATTTTCAGCATTCTCCCAGACTGTTTCGTTTCTACATGTGCATCGTACTGCCGATGGCTCTCGGCGCCGAGGGCCGCGAGTTTGTCGCTACTTTCAAACCAAGAGATGTCCATGTGCCATGCTGGCTGTGTGCGAAATACCACTCAGAAGCAATATGCCGCTACTCCAAGTTTGTGCCATACACCACTTGATGTTTATCAGTCTTGCAAGGAAGGGCGTATTGCTCGTTTGTCATTTCCTTGTTCGCAGCTGCAATTTCCAGGCGACTGACTATGCGCCATGGTCAAATAGCAGGCTGCCAATCCAATTTTCGTGGCTGCTTGCTTAGCCGATTGTATTCTACAGACCATATCATTGCACAGCCGTGCCATTTGATTACTTCATTCTCATCTATGGCTGCCAGTGTTCATGCGAGAGGCGGCCCGTGTCTCGACCAGTAGTGGATTTCCCACTTTCAAGCCGGCACATCCGCATAGGATGGTCTAATGAAGCCACACAGGGCAGCCTGCGTCCATGGGTCTGCAAGGTTCATTGCGGCGATTATCACCATGTCACCTACAAAAAGTGCCGTTCTAGACGAATATATGGCTGGACAAGCTGGCTAGAAGTGTTACCTAATCTCGGAGTTGGGGATTCTGAGGTCAATGTCGGACACGCACGCATTTCACGTCAGTACGGCGGTTTCGCTCTCCAGCGCTCGATACAATGTCTTGTCATCCGGCTCTGCTTGGCCTTCTCACGCAGAGCTGCCTTTGCTCCTCAGTCAACCACCGCTTGCCTGAACAGGATCCAACATCGCGGCAATTCTAGTGAGCCATTGAGGATACCAGCGAGACAAATATTTATCTTTCTTCGAGCCTCGTGGTAAGGGCTTCTTCTTTCTGCTCGCGACACGGTGTTTCCAGGCTCGATGCAATGTCTCGGCGTCGCTACACTTGCAGTGGCGCATCAGCCAACGGACTTCAGCTGGCGTAGCCTCTCCTGAAGCGAAAGTGCGCCCTTGTGGAACTCTTCCCCTTCTCTCCGCCTTTGGACTGACGTGACACTCATACGTCGCGGTCATGCTCTGACAATAGGCCGGCGCCGCGGGACATCCCTCGTGTCGGAAGCCTGGGTCTCCGAAACTTACCGCGCCTGGAAGAGCAGCACTCGTGATGGCTTCAAGTGTGGCCTGTGTTCGAGTATGGGAAGCAGCCGTGGGCGCCTGAGGTTTATGTTTCCTGTCCTTGAAACCAGGTTCCATACCGGACTCGCCGCTATCGAGCGGAGTCCTGTCATTGACCGAGTGTGCGTGCGGCGTCAATGCTTGGCCCTTGCGATTCAAGGGGCCACTAGGCAAGTTTGACGTCGGGAGTTGGTCGTCAATGGAGACACGAACCGTCCTTTTCACTTGACCAGTGTCCCATCTGCCTTCGTCAAGTCCAGGAAAGAAGACTGGTCCGTGAGCATGTTTCGTATCCGGAGTGAAATGACCGCGCCTACGCTCTACACCTTCAAACCAGCGGTCAGCCCACAACGCCTTCCATGAGAGCAACAGAGCATGCTTACTGTTCGAATGATAATTGCATTTTGTTCGACAACCGCGGTATATGCAGCTCGCGCATACAGCCTCTGCTACATTCTCCCGAACGACACAAGTCTCGAATACGCCAGGTCTAGTCGCACACGGCTCGCATGGTCTGGTTTGGTCCACCCCCGTCATATAGACTGCTGCTCCAAGGCTTTGCTTTGGCTTCCTCGCGTCGAAAAGCTTTTCTTGCTGAAGATAGTCGGCGCTAAAGTCAAGACGCCTCATCATGGGCTCGGATAGCATGTGCTTCGCGATACCTCTGGCGTGACTTTCCATCCTCCTCCGAATCTTTAACGTCTGGTCTCTTCCGAATCGAAGCAACACCTCTGCTCGCTTAGGCGATTCAGACATTTTTGCATCTGTTCAAAACCCTTCTTTCATGGTAGCCGTACTTTGAGATCAGTATCGTCACATCAGGACGGAGTTACATAGACATAGCCTGTGGCCGAGCGGTCGTTGTGATGTCCGACAGCGACGAGATGAGACGAGTGTGCTCGACGTCGATTGCGTGCTTACCAAATTTGACGTGACACGAGCATTGGCTGCTGAGCAGGGTCATGTGTCATTCGCAGGGGCGTACGAGATGACAGAAGGGGTATTTGGCTTCTACCAGGCCAAGCTGTCATGTGGCCAGATCCCTGATTGCGAGATTGGAGCCTCCATGAGACCTCATTAAAGCTCGCGAGCGTCTTCCCATCCCCATTCGTCATCATTTGAAAGTCGAATCGTCCGAGAACGATCCTTCTTCAAATCGACTCCACTCACTATGGTCCGCAAGAAACATCTGGACACGCAGACAGCCACGGCCAACATGCATCGCAAGGCCAAGCGCAAGGCTTGTTACGCCGAAAGCGAATACGAAGCGGAGAACGAGATTCGAAAGGATTTCTATTCCTCTGAGCTGAGAAGAGCGCCCTCACCCACGCCGGCGCCTTGTGCTAAGCGACGGCCACGACGGAACTAGTTCTTCGGAGCGTACGCATCAGATTGTTCCAACGAGCCCAACACCTCAACGGAGATACGCAGAGCCCAAGACACAAGTCGAGCACTCAAATGCCGAAAAGGAGTATGTGTCAGCGGCGTTCGTCTTCGAACGCTACCCACTCGATCACGAGTACTGCAAAGTCGCCGTCGGACAACTGGCCAAGAAGATCACCGCAGAGGACAATGAGAGCTCTCAGGTCCTGGAAGCCCAGATCCAGAGCGTCGCAGACCAACTGTGCTTCCAAGGCCTCGATGTTGGGACTGCTGATCGTGTAAGAGCTGAACTCTCGGATGCCAGTCGCCGAAGTATCATTACTCGGCTGGGCGATGGGCTTCAGGATCTCTCGATGTTGGCAAACCTTCTCGAGGATCTCTGTGCCGGAGTCAAGGTTCCCAGAGTTCATTCTGCGCTGGCAGCATGTCTCCAAGGCATTCGACTTCAAAAGGCCATGGACACAGATGCGGTATGTATGTCAGGAGCACTCCCACCGAGCAGCGAGGCCGGCTTGCCGCAAACACCGGTCAGCGAGCGAACGCAAACGTTTGAGCCGGAGGTGGACTGCGCATTGACTACCGTGGATCTTCCCGCCCTCACGGCTCGCGGCGAAACGGAACGGCATTGCCAAGTTCAAGGAACGCTTCCCCGAGGGCTCTGATCTTTTCGCCTTCCATGTGCGAGAGGCATGTCTTCGCTCAGGATTCACCGGGCCCGGCCTCGAGAATCGAATTCAACAGGCAAGGCAAATGTGGCACGAACTTGGGACAGAGAGGCAGCAAAGCTGGCAGTGCTTATGTCAACAAGTGCACACTGGCGATAGTCAGCCTATGGATGCGTCTGTCGGTAGTGAAGTACTCCGACGAAACGGAATCACAACAGCTTTGGGACTTGCGGATATCCAAAGCGACGTGCTACCGCCAGCATCTGGATCATCCCCTATCTCCGAGGGGCAGATCCATGCTATTCACACCGACGCCGATTCTATAACCACATCTTCCCTCACGGCGACTGCGCATGTATCTCCATTGGCGCGTAGGAGACCTTCCTATCGAGCGACAAATGTATTCTTCACGCAGAAACGCGACAACTGCCAACGACTGGCTTGGATAATCAATACACCCGATGGACCAAATACGGTGCTCGAGAAATCGGATTTCCTTCAGACATGTATAAACCGATTTGGAGAGGCCGTCGTTCCTGGATCCTGTCGGCAGACGGGCGGTCGTCTGTATTCCATTTGCTTCCAAAATGTGCACCAAGTGAGCGCAGTGCTGGCAAGCAAGGACTGCATCGTTGCAAATAATGTAGTGATGTATCCAGAGAAGCTACTATCCCAAAAACCGAACCTGTTTGTAGCCGACTTATCGGGCTCTGGCTTCACCCTGCAGGATCTGTCTTCATGCCTCCAGCGCGTATTGAAACTTCCCCGGTACCACTTGGCAGCGTATCCGAGCGACTGCTTCGCCATAGAGTTCTTAGAGCCGCGACCTCTACTCAGATTCTACGTGCCTATAGAGGGCCGCGCCGGGCAGATCCAGCAAGTTCGATTTGACGCAGTAGACCCTGGGCGCGCTTGCCCACTGTGCGCAAAGAAGCATCGGAGCTTGTGTTTTAAAGCGCCCAAGCTGTCGACCTCCAAGACGTGAGCTGGATTGATTGGCGTTCGTGTATCTTCGATGCTGGATTTTGATATATGTGTATATGGCCTGTAACGAAGTATTGTTATTCGGTCTAGACATCTACGTACCTCTCTACTATGCACATACTAGAGAGAGGTAATCAATATAGAAATGGAAAAGGGGACTAAGTAATAGTACCTAGAAGTCATAATACTAGGCGTCTTCCTAATTAGATAGGTAATTTTTGTGTACTAATAAGTTGTAGGGGTCGCGTGTACTTAATACAGTATGCCTAGGGGCCTAGCTGTTACGGGTGAACGACGTATACACGGAGGTTCTATGTATAGTAATAAGTAGTAGAAGTTACAAGTACCTAGTAATGAGTGGCAGAAGTCCGAAGTACCTGGTACTACGTGCCTAGGTGCCTTATGACTGACTAAAAATCCTTGGCAAGCGTGCCTTAGCAGCTCTACCGACCTACTTATAGCTTCACTACACACTTGATAGACCTATATCTACTCTAGTGCATACCTCTTTAGTGCCACCCTTTGTTCCTTCTATTGTAGAGTCTCTTATATAGGAGCCAGATCAGCCAATATGTTACCGCGTCAATTACAGCTTAATGCCTCCGTATAGGAGGGTTAGGTTGTAGTTGCTTCCTTTACTAGTACTCTATACCGGGGGCCCTGTAGCTACTGAAAAGCCTTAAGAGTATGCCTTAGCGGCTCTACTACTTGAATCTACTTATAGCTTTACTACACACTTAATAGACCTATATCTACTCTAGTATATACCTCTTTAGTGCCACCCTTTGTTTCCTTCCTTTATAGAGTCTCTTATATAGGAGCCAGATTAGCTTATATGTTATCGCGTCAATTACAGCTTAATGCCTCCGTATAGGAGGGTTAGGTTGTAGTTACTTCCTTTACTAGTATAATATACCTAGGGGACTTACTAACACCTAAAACGCCTTAGTACTATACCTTAGTAGCTCTAACTTACCTACTAAAGGAAGCAACTACAACCCACATTTTTGGCGTTCGGCGCTCGAGCTTCCAAAGTAGGGTCTGGCGCCGGCCGATTTTGGTGGGAAATGGCGAAAAGTGCTCCTGAGAGCCTCGCGACAGGCCCGGGGAGCGCGCTCGCGAGGGGACTTGGCGAAATTTCGTCTCCTCACCCTCCTTCTACTACCCTCTGCTGTGGTAGGGGGTGGGTGGGAGGGG